AATTTTGCTACTTCTTGTTGTTAAAGGAATTTATTATCTAAACAGTTAATACATAGGTAAAAGCTTTTATTATGAACAATCATCCTTTGACATCTGATAAGAAAAAATATTATAAATGGCAAAAATTTTTTGCCAAATACAAGTTTAAGATTGATCATATTAAAAGAGAAAATAATGTTTTGCTTGATTTCTCATCCAGGGATGGCAATGATAAACGATATCATTATACAGTAGAAAAGCATAAAGAAGAGCTTGTTGATGAGTTTGAAAATATTTACAAACAATATGAGGCTAACATTGACAGCATGAACAAATACAATCTCATATTGATATCCTCAAGAAAATCAATGAAAAATATATTCTTTTTTCCAAAAGAACAAATAAAAAAGTAGGAAACATCGCAAGCTTCCGCTAAGATTTCTTTGAGTCCATCGAACTCATGGTCATCTAGAGTAAAATTCATTACTCTAACACAATATCAAATCTAAGGAAAAACCCCTTTGGATACCCCAAAAGAAAACTTTCCACCGTTACCATCCAAGGAAGTTATTTTAAAAAACTCAAAAAAATTTATTGGTGCTTACCAAACCATCACAACCAAAGTTTATTCTCACAGGCATAAGCCTGAATCTATTATTTTTGTTGACCATACAAGAATTTACCTAAGAGCTAATATTCTCCAAAAGAATAAACTTTAAATCTTCTCCAAAAGAAGATATTAAATATATCTTTGAATATGGATACTTAGATCTTCTTTATATAAACTTAAACAATGTAGAACTGGCCTTTTTACTAGTTGAAGTCCATAATGCAGTAAACCAATATGGAGCCTATAAAAAATTCACTTTTAAACCAAAATTTATTAAAGTTTTAGTATAAGTCCTGATATTTGTTGGAGTTTGCCTTAAATCTCATAATCTCACATCAAAAGTTAAGTAAAATTATAAGAGTTTTAGTTTATTTTATATCCCACATCAGGAGTTTAGTAAAAATATAAGGGGTTTTATCTTTATAAATAAGATGCTTTGATTTTGGTTTGATAATCCAAAATAGACATTAAGAGAATAGCTAAGTGAGTAGCCTATTAAAAATCTATAATTGGGTTTTAGGTTAAGTTTCGAATTAGGAGTTTTTAGTAACTTTTTTCATTCCAAAAGTCTCATAATTGTAAATATTTATTTGTTAGTGGATTAGGTTTGGAGTAAGCCATTTTAAGTTTGATCGAAACAAATAAATTTGTATGTTTTTATTCTTAATTTGAATTATTATTTTGTGTGTGAATATTGTGTGTGCGTGTTGATTTTTCAATACATGATATTAGAGCAAGGTTTGTGGGAAGAAGAGGCAGGCCCAAAAGATCGTGACCCTATAAAGTAAGTATTTTAAGATGTTTAAAAAATGTATGTCTAATATGCCTATACCCAAGTTTGAGATTCTGTTATTTGATGAAAAGAATAATTTTATGTTATGACAAAGTATAATTCAAGATCTGTTAGTACAAAAAAGTTAGATTAGGCATTAAAAAGTAATAAGCCTAAGGTAATATCTGACAGTAATTGAAATAGAATTCAGAAAAAAGTTGTTAATATTATTAGATTGGCATTAGCCTTAGAGATAAAATATAGTGTATTGACTAAGAGTAATCTGAAGAATTTGTGAGATAAACTTGAGGGTATTTATGCATTGAAATCGTTGACTAACACATTATGTTTAAAGATGAATATGTATTCTCTGAAGATGAAAGAAGGTACGAGTATTCATAAACACTTGAATGTGTTTAATATATTAGTTTTTCACTTGCTAACGATTTCTATTGATAAGTTAAAAGATTAAGAGAAGGTTTCAATTTTATTGTCATATTTATCCAAATTTTATAGACTATTAGTTTAGACTTTATTAGTGGGTAAGTCTACTTTGAAGTTGGATGATGTGGCTATTTTGTTGCATGAAAACGAAAGGTTTATGAGAACATAGAGCTCATCATTTAGAGGAGTACACTAGTTGTAAAAGGTTTTGATCGAAAGATGATTCAAAAGAGAATTAATGGATCACAAATGAGATCCAAGTCAAGCGACAGAAATTATAATGACATAGAATGTTATTATTGTGGTAAAAAAGAGACATCCAAATTAAAAAAAAAAAAGGGGACATCCAAATGCACTACAAGAAGCTAAAAAGAGATATGATTGCTTTTAAAAGGGCAATGATGAGAAAAAAATCGAATGAAGAAAAGAATAATAGTACTACTGTTATGTCTGATGATGATGATGTCGTTTTGAAGACGTCGTTTTGAAGACGTGTAGATGAGACTCAGACTTTAAAAGGTGATAAAAATTGAATTTTAGATTCAACTGATACACTCCATGTTTGCAATTATAAGAGTTGCTTTTATGGAGTTGAAAGAGAATGAGAAGTATAAGGATATTGTGGTTGCCTACAATGAAAATGTGTAGATTCAAAGTATTGTGAATATTCGTTTTAGATCTCAAAATGATGTTGTTAGGGCGCTTCCTCATGTAAGGTATATATCGAGTTGTGATTACAATTTGATTGCTTTGGGTGAGTTAACTTCTCAGGGATACATATATTATGATAATAATAATTGGTTGACAGTGTACAAAAATGATAGTGTGATTCTACAACAGAATAAGGTCAAAAATTATTTGCACATGCTTGATGAATGTTTAGTTGTTGATATTCCTGTGATGAAAGAAAAAAAAAAGGTAAGTATGTCAACTTTGCAAATACTCTTAAAATATTTAAAGATTCAAGTCAAAGGAAGATTTATTAAAGTTTACCTTAAATTTTATAATCTCACATTAAAAATTACGAGAAGTTATAATAGTTTGAGTTTTTTTTATATCACACATAAGGAGTTTAATAAATGTATAAGAGTTTTATCTTTATAAATAAGATTTTTTTTTTATTTAGTAATCCTAGATAGTTAGACACTAAAAAAAATAACTATGTGACTAGCCTATTAAAAATGTGTAATTAGATTTTAAGTTAAATTTTAAGTAATTAGTTTTTTATAACTATTTTCATTTAAAAAATCTTATAATTATAAAGATTTATTTGTTAACGAATTATATTTGGAATATGACATTTTAAATTAGATTAAAATAAACATATTTATGTATTTTTATTTTAAATTTAAATTTATTATTTTATATGTTAATACTACGTTAACATATTCATTTTTCAACAATATTCAAGATGAAACCGTATTTACTGGGAAATTTATTATCGGCATCTGATAAGTACAATGCTACCATTGCTATGGAACAATCCCATAAGCCTATTCCAAAGATTGATGAAGGATTTATGACAATCAGACAATGCCAAGGATTCAGAGTCCTTTATGGAACTATTCAAAGGCTATTAGACACAGGAAAATCCTGGATACACAATACTGGAGGAAACATGATAATTTTATCAAGTTTCAACAATGTCAGATTCACTGAGCTACACAAACAAAAGTTAAAAGAAAAAGGAAATACGATTTATCAGAATTTGACACCATCATCGAGAGCCACACATATTTACCTTTGCAAGATTCTCAATCATAATAATGCAGACATCTGTCAATTCTGCATCAAAATGCAAAAAGACAATACCAGCTTGCAGAAGAAATCCGTGGGCAAAAAAGTTGAAAAGACACCATCTGAAGAAGAAATATCCTGTGCACAATGTAATCCATACCATGAGTATTTTGTGAACCTCATTCGCCTGACCTTCTTATTCAGTAAGCGACGGGGGTTCCTCTCACCGTGCCCTCAAGGTGTTTTATATCCAGATTCACAGCGCGGTGGGAGGAACTCTAGCATGATGCCAAAGATTTTTAAAAAATATTTTGATTTTGAGGATTTTTTTAAATATTTCTTTCTTTTCATTTATCTACCTATTTTACGAGCATGGATGTCACAGTGCAAGTGTGTGATCTTCAACTATAGTTATGTAATAAAAAAAATTATTTTAGGCGTGGAAAGATTAAGTGGTAAAAATCATAAGTTGAAAATGTTGAAGAAATGTCCATGTCCCTCACCAATGCCTCTCTTGCAAAAAACCTTGTCGGTGGTTGGGTCATGAGCTGTAAAGATGAAAAAAGCATATTCTAAGGTTCTAGTATGTTCGCCATTTAGGCAAAAGGCATAGTAACTGACAAATAAAAAGTTAGAAAACAAAAATTATTATTATTTTATTATTATAAAAAGCTCTTGCATTTTTTATTTTAAAAAAAAATTTAATCACTACATGAAAATTATTTATGCTACTTATTTGATAATTTTGTCAAAAAAAAAAAATCTTTGCAGTTACTCTGTAGTTGATATAAAAAGCTTCATCATTTGGTTTACACCTGGTTACCAGTCAACAGTGAACAGTCAACAATTACAGAAGTGGTCCTCCATTTTACTTGCTGCCCAATCCCAAGGTCACCACTGTAGTTTCCCTGAAATTCCAGATCTCATCTCCCTTTAATTTCCTTAACCATTACCAACGCCTCTTTTTCTTCTAGGAAAATGGCAGAAGCACTTGTTTCTGCAATTATAAAGCTGCTAGTAAAAGTTATTGCTGAATAAAGTTGAATTGGATGGTTTGATCGCCCATCAATTTTCTTTCACTAATCAATCAATTAATATCTCTCTCTCTCTCTCTTTCTCTGTCTCTCTGTCTTTCTCTCTCAAAATGGCCTTAGCACTTGTTTCTTCCATCTTGGAGCAACTCAGTGCTTTCACTACTGAGAATGCGCGGCAAGGGCTGAAGTTGGTGACAGATGTTGAGAAAGAAGTCGAAAAGCTTGACAGCAATTTTAAGGCCATCCGCAATACGCTTGAAGATGCAGAGCAAAGGCAAATTGTGGAGAAAAGCGTGAAAGGCTGGTTAGATAAGCTCAAAGAAGTGTCTTATGGCATGGAGGACGTGTTGGATGAGTGGAGCACTGCACTCTCCAAGTTGCAACAGATCCTGAATTAGATGTAAGTGCTTCTATTCCCAAGAGGATGAAAACTTCCATAACTTCATGTGTTTCTTCTTTTTGTCAAGTTGTTAGGCGTTATGACATTGCTAGCAAAATAAAAGGAATCAATGAAAGGCTAGATGAGATTGCTGAGGAGAAAGATAGATATCATTTGACAAAAATAGAAACCAAACAATTTAGACGAGTAGAGAGTACATCTTTTATTGATGTGTCCAAGTTACATGGTCGAGATGAGATTAAAAAAGAGATAGTGGAGAAATTGTTGAATGGGACTAGTGAAGAAGGCTGCATTCAGACCATCTCTCTAGTAGGGATGGGAGGGATCGGAAAAACAGCTCTTGCTCAATTGATCTGTAATGATCAACAAGTTCAAGCACACTTCAACAATGTAATTTGGATGTGTGTCTCGGACAAATCTGATCTAAACAAAATTGCGGGAGCAATTTTAGGAAGTCTGGACAAAGGTTCAGCTACCAATCTCCAAAATCCAATTCCCTCAGACGATGTTCTTCTGGCCAAAATTTGTGAAAAAATCAGAAGTGCAAAATTCTTGCTTGTTTTAGATGATGTGTGGGAAGTCCGTGATGAAGTTTGGGATCCACTAAAAGCTGCTTTTCAACAAGGCACGTCTGGAAGTAGGATTTTAGTGACTACTCGTAACGAATCAGTTGCAACGGGGATGGGATCCTTTCAATCTCAACTGTTTCGTTTGAAAGAATTATCTGATGAAGTGTGCTGGTTAATACTTAGTCAATTGGCCTTTATGGGAAAGGGAAATGAGTTGCGTGGAAAGTTGGAGGATATTGGAAGGAAAATAGCAAAGAAGTGTAAAGGTTTGCCGCTTGCTGCAAAGACTTTGGGAGGTTTGTTACGGGAGAAAAAATCTAAGGATGAGTGGCAACATATTCTGAATAGTGAGATGTGGAAATTAAATGTTGCAGAAGAATACATTTTCAGACCTCTCTTGCTAAGTTATTATGATTTGCCCTCACAAACAAGACCGTGCTTATTGTTGCAATCTTTCCCAAAGATTTTGTTTTTTGGCAAACTAAATTAATTCAGCATTGGATGGCACATGGTTATCTAAGCTCCAACGAGAATTCAGGGATGGAAGAAGAAGAAAAAGGTGGTGAATACTTCAACTACTTAGCATCTCGTTGTTTTTTCCAAGATTTTCTTAATGATTACAATGGTAATATAATCGCATGTAAGATGCATGACATGGTGCATGATTTTGTCCAATATTTGAAAAAAGAAGAAATTGTGGCAGTGGAGGTTGACAAAAATAAAAATGGGATGATGGATGTATCTTCCAAAAAGGCTCATCATTTGAGGGTAAAGATTGCAGAAGGGGATCAATTTCCTGTGTCTATAAAAGGCATAGAGAAACTACGGAGCCTAGTAGTTGATAGTGAAGAGTGTGATGTAACTGGTGAAGCCTTGCAAGCCTTCTTCAAGGGAGCGAAATGTCTAAGATTATTGGATTTTGTGATGGAGGGGTCTAGTTTTGTAAATGTAAAAGAAATTCCAAATGAAATAGGGAAATTAATTCATCTGAGATACCTTAATTTGAGTGGCAGTGTGAATTTAAAAGAATTGCCTGAAGGAGTGTGTGAATTGCATAATTTGCAGTTCTTGAATCTCGGGAATTGTTATGGTCTTGAGAAACTACCGGATGGTATGGGGAAATTAATCAACCTGAGGTATTTTAATTCTTCGAATTGTTATAGGCTACAATATTACCCAAAAGGGATTGGGAGATTAACTTCTCTCAGGGAATTACACATAATCAGAGCGAGAGTAGATGGCAAAGACGCAGCTAAAGAATTCAGTGTGGGAGATTTGGAAAACTTGGACGACCTTCGTGGATATCTTTCGATAGATCTGGTGGGAAATGTGGTAGATGTGGAAGAGGTTAGGAGAGCCAAACTTCACAACAAGATACATCTTGACAGGCTGTTTCTATACTTCACGAGGCGTGGAGAGATAAATCCTAATGACATCATTCAAGCCTTAAATCTACCTCCTTCCTTTGACATATCGGTGGGAGAAGGGTTAATCAGGTACTCTTTCTATCTATTTCTCTTTCCAATTTTTCTTCAAATTAAATTTGTTCAAATTTTTTTAAAAAAGAGAGCTACTAGACACATTTCAATTTTTTTTCTCTTCACAATTATTTTTTAAAAAATTTTCTTTTAAGTAAGATTATTTAATTATTTTTTCATCTCAATTTTAAAACTTGCAGATATATATTTTTAGTAAATTTTATAATTTATGGATATAAAAATCTAATAAATTATATAACTTATTGTTTATGCATATTCAATAAATAAAAAAAGTTACATTTAAGGTTTGGGAAAAAAATCAATTGAGAAAAATATTTTGAAGAAATTTCATAACATCATAAAAAAGTCACAAATTGTTTTAAATAATTATAAATTTATTTACAAATTGATAGAAAAAACTATGCATGTGAGTATTTAGATTTTTTTTTATTTGAAGAATGTGGGATAAAAATTTTTAAATTTTCAGATAGTTAAGTTTGGAAATTTTTAAAAGTTTTAAATCTAAAAATTTTTAAAAGTTTTCATATTTATAAATCCAAAAGTTTAAAAGTAAAAGAGATATAAAAAAAAAGATAATTAAATAATTTATTTAAAAATGATTTTGAAAAAAATGTATGAAGATTAAAAGGAAGAGTGTGAATAGAAACTCCTTATAAAAATCACATCAAAGGATAATTATAATTTTACCATGTGTTTTAAATTGATATTACAAGGGTAACCTTTGGCTTTGATCTTCGTAGTGCCGAAAAAAGGTCAACGTGGTCAGGCTGAATCAGAGGAGGTGCCATCTGTGGGAAGAAGAAATGGTGCTGGCTTCTACCTCTTTTATGCCTTTATATAAATATATATATTTAAAACATTCAGTATGTGACTGTCTAAAATCATGTAAAAACTTAATGTGTGTCTGCTGCTGTCTTTGGTCCCTGCTTTGAACCATGATTTGAACCCTCGAGCTGTTGGATCAAATTTAATTTGTAGTGTGCTTGTTGTTTGTATGGATTATATGTGGGATCTTTAGCTTGTAATGTATTATTTTAAATATATGGAATCATTTACGTTTCATATTACTGAGGTGTTAATTTTTTTCTCAATATAATCTTTATTTGGTATCATTAAAATTTACTTAATATTATAATCTTAATAATTGATCATGCTTATTTATTTTGTTTTGTAATAAATTATGACACTTAAATAACTCTATTTTTTTTTGTTATTAGTGCATTTTGTATACTATAATAACATTTAGTTTAATAGCTACTAACCTCTCTTACATAGGTTACAATTCAAAATTAATCTTAAAACTGAGGCTTCATTGAATTGAGTGAGACAAATCAAAGACAAGAAGTTATCTCATTCAAGAGTGAGGCATTTTTTTGAAAATATATTTACAAAATGAAGAAAATACATGAAAATGTTTTAATTCATTTGTAAAATTTAAAATTCAATTTCGTTAGTAGGTAATATATCTATATATAATTGTGTATTTTACATGATGACAATTCTTCTTAAGCTTTGGTCCTGTTATCGTCTTTATCTCAAATGGTAACCAAACTTTACCTTACATCAACGAAGAAGAGGAAAAAAATCTGTTTTAAGAAAAAATCTAAACTTAACTGCATATGATGTTGATCTTATAATTTAATGTAATTGCTTTAACTGAATTTAAGAATTAAAAATGAGTAGCATTCAAAAACAATCAACAACTATAGAAAATTAATTATGTACACCAACATAAAAAAAAAAAGGGACTACATTCTAATTGTTATAAACCTATTAGTCCTCAAATATTTTAAAATTAACATTCTTTCCTCTTTGGTAGAGATTATATGTTCATGGATATGTAAAAAATGCTTTGCACTTGAACAATCATATATGACAAAAAAAAATCAAAAATCAAAATTCAAACATGCAAAATTTTATATAACTCGGAGATGAGTTAAGAGTATATATGAAAAAATAATAATAATAATAATCGCATACCAATCATAAGAGTTCCAATCAAGCCTTCGTTACAAATGATTTTCAAACTCGCAGACATTTTAACGAAAGCAACATTGACATTGCAGGGAAATGATAAAAAAAATTAAAGCCAACAAATACTCTCATAAAACTTTCAATGTTTCAATATTCCATGAAATTTTTAAAACTTGTCAACTTGATTACAATTTACTAGTTATTTCCTATGATGTGATCAAACTAATTTTGACTTTTAAATCCTCAATTCCAATTGTTTTGACTAGAATCTTTCATGCATTCAGATGTTGTTTTAGATTTTTCAACACTTGAATGCTTTAGTAAAATCATAAAAAATTTTATGCTAATTACTACATTAGATTTAGAAAAAAGAAAATGTTTTACATTTATTTTCTATAAGAGGATAAATGAAGACAGCATGACACCAGTGTACTAGAGATGTGATCGGTGGTAAGGGATGCGGAGAAGAATACCGATCGCTTCCAAACTGAGCATCTTCCATGTGGTGCCCATTAAAGCAAACATAAAAAAAGATTGTGTACTTTTCACTTGTTATTAATACTTTATCTCAAAATTCAAAAGCAAAAACGATACACAGATCCTCCATTGATGCTCTGCAACTCTGGAAATTTGCCTATTTCAATTAAAGGTATGGGAATTTCTCTTTCGACCCAGGTTCAAAATTTGTTTACTTTTACGCTTTAGATCTTGAAAATGTGACAGCCGTCAAGATTAATGGGTCTCTTTCAGAATTCATGATTTTTCATTTTTTGTTTTGAGATGAAACGGCGATGTATTTTTTAGAGTAATATTAGTTCCAAGGAAATAATTATTGGAAGTATACTTAGCTGTAAAAGGCTTGTCTTTGGCTGTTCTTAGGACGGTGAAGGGGAAGCTTACGTTTGTGAATTGGTCTCTTGAGTTTTTGGTACAGAAGGAAAATTTGACGTTTCTAGGAAAGTCTGAATAGTAGAAATCCTTTCATGTTTTAATTTTCTTGCTTCATCATGTATATTCTGAATGCTTGCTTTGGTGGGTTTTTTATTTTTTATTAGTTTGGTGGCGTCTGTATTGCATTCTAGTAGTTCAAGGGAGGGGCGTTGGAGGCAGAATTCATCTTCAGGGGACTCTCATTACGGGCATCCTCAGTTGTCATATGGTCAAGAAAGCCAGAGTTACGTGCCTCACCATAGCTATGCCTCCCCACAGTATCATCCACCTTCTCAACAAGAGCCGCGGTATTATCCACATTCACAAGACCATGGCAGTGATAAAAGGACGTTAGACAGTAGGTATTCAAGAATTGCAGACAATTATAAGCCTGAACCGGAATCGAATCGAAATTGAATTGTTGAACGTAATCCAACCGTCGAACCAAACCGTCGGTCTGAAGTGCGTGTTGATCAGATCACTAATTGATCTAGTTTAAGTAAAAAAAAATTTTTATTTTTTTTATATATTATTTTAGTTATTTTAATTATTATTTTTAATATTTATGCGTGTTAAAATATTTAAATTTAACATAATAAATTTTTATTGTTTTATAATAATAATTAATAAAAATATATATATATAAAAGTTTTTGATAATTATATTAATTTCAGAATAAATCTTATAAATATAAAAAAAATAAAGAAAAAAAAATTTTTTGTCCAACGATGAGATTCAAAGTACTCCGAGTAAGTGATACCTACGAGATTTTTAAGTGAGAAATTTTTTAAAAATACTATCAGTGTATTTGGAGTATTTATAAAAAAATTTCAATATAATAAAATTTTTTTATAAAATAATAATAATAATAATTAACTAATAATTAAAAATAGGTAATAAAAAATAGAAAAAAAAGAAATTTTTGTCAAAGATGATATTTCAAAAGTATCTCTTTAAGAAATATATAAGTGAAAGATTTTTTTCTTAAATATTATCAGTGTATTAAAATATTTATAGAAAATCTTCAATACAATAAAAATTTTTTTGTTCTTCATTTCTTTTAAATAAGAATAATAATAAAAATTAATAAAATTTCTAAAAAATAAAATGTATGCATCATGTTATTATTTGCATTCAATGCATGATATAATTTTTATAAAAAGTAAATTCGAACATCCGAGGATGAAATTCTTAGGTATTTCGAGAAGTGATGTCTGAAAAATCTTTAGGTAAGAAAGAGTTCTAATATTTTCAACGTGCTGGAGTATTTTGAGAATTATTTAAATAAAAAAGGTTCTAATTTATTTTTCTCGAATAAAATTTGAATAATAAATTTTTTAAAATAAAACCAAACAACCTAATTTTTAAAAAAAATTAAGAAAATTATTTTTTCAAACACTGAGAATGAGATTATTTTTAATCAAAATTAAAATATAACACGTAGTTAAGTGGTACTATTTTTAAAGGCGTCGTGGGAGTGCTAATCTTTTTTTACGTATAATCGACTCTTAAACCTCGACTGTTTTACAGATTGTAAAATTATCTTTTTAATAAATTTTAATTAATTTTAAAATTTTATTAAAAGATAAATTTTATTAGATGATTAATCGTATTTAATTAAAAAAAATTAATAATGATTTTATTTTTTATTTTTTTATTTTTATTTTTAAATTCGTCGGACAACTTCAAAATTATTACGACATATAATTATTTAAACTTTAACATGAATTTAAAGATGAAAGAAAGTGAAAAATGCTTTAACCACGTAGCTTCCAACTCTTTTTTTTTTCAATATTTTGATAAAAATAAGCATGGTAACATAATTAAATGTAAGATGTCTGACATGGTACATGGTGACATAATTAAATGTTTTGTGAACCTCATTCGCCTGACCTTATTCAGTAAGTAGTGGCTTGGTGGCCCCAGTATCTTTTCTTTTGTCACTTCATTTCTTCAAAATGTTGAAGAAATGTCCATGTCCCTCACCAATACCTCTCATGCAAACAACCTTGTCGGTGATTGGGTCATGAGCTGTAAAGATTAGAAAAAGCATATTCTAAGGTTGTCAAGTATATTCGCCGTTTAGTCAAAAGTCATAGTAACCGACAAATAAAAATTGGTAGCAAAGAATTATTATTACTTTTATTATTTTATTATTATAAAAAACTCTTGGGATATTTTATTTTCATAAAAGAAAATTTTAATCACTACATGAAAATTATTTGTTACTTATTTGATAATTTTGTCAAAAAGAAAAATCTTAAATTTGAAATTTCATTATCTTTTTCCCAAAGAAGTGGTCCTCCATTTTACTCGCTACCCAATCCCAAGGTCACCAATGTAGTTTCCCTGAAATTCCGGATCTCATCTTCCTTTAATTTCCCCTTTAACCGTTACCAACGCATCTTCTTCTAAGAAAAAGGCTGAAGCACTTGTTTCTGCAATTATACAGCAGCTGGTAAAAGTTATTGCTGAATAAAGTTGAATTGGATGGTCTGCATTTGTTCTCAATATCATGTTAATACTCAAATCAACTAAATCAGCAACACATTATAAACTGCTAGTTAATATTAATTAAAGAACTTAGCAGGAACCACATCTTACATAATTAACATTACGTGAACAAATAACAAGACAACAAATCATAGGTAGAGTGCATTAGTAAGATAATGTAGAAAGGAACCACACTTTTTTTTTGTAAAATTAAATTCAGAGTAGATAGACAATTCAATCTCCTAAATCAATGTAAAATATATCGTATTTGATAGCTTAAAATAAATTATTGTAAGTGATACATTTAAGATCACTTCAACAAGTGACCATCGGTAGAATTCGAACTCAAAATATTTTCATAAAAAAAAAATAAATTTAACCGATTAAATCAATCACTTATTAATAAAAATCACACTTCACAATTAATTCAAACAGTTCAGCAGCAGCAGACAAATGTTACCTAATGAAGACTAGAGCAAGATATGTTCCAAATTTGATTGCAAATCACGATTGGGACAAATAAAATTAAAAGAACGTTCTAAACAATATACAGCTTTTGGTATATTGTTTAGAATTACAACCACATATATTAGAAAAATAGTATTATTTTTTGATGAATTAAAAGATAAAAAACGAGCATAGCAATTTTTAGGAATACCAAATTATGCTAGGCAATTCATTGAAAAATTGTCCAAATTAAGACAACCATTACAAAAATTGATAAGAAAAAATAGTAAATTTGAATGGACGACAGAGATTTTAACAAACCATGTGAGAAAGATAAAAGAAATATGTCATAAGCTGCCACGGGCGGTTTTTACCAAAAGATGAAGATACAAAGAAATTAGAAACCGATGCTTCCAATGAATATCGGGGAGCAATTTTGAAAGGAAAAGATACAGAAACAAATGAAGAGAAAATGTAACGCCCTCAATTTTTTGATACGAAAGCCTCGTGATTTTATTTTATAAAAAATATTTTATAAATTTAAATTTAAGTCTTAAGTTATATATTATATTATATTCACATATTCTTTAAATGTTATATTAAAAGAATATATAGATATAATATTATATATAAGTTAAGATTTAAACATAAATCTATGGGATACATTTTATGAAATAAAATTATGAGACTTTAATTCAAAGTGAATAATATTTCATAAGTTGGGTACAAACTCCTAAAATGATGTCACAGCGATTATTAATAAGAGGGAACTAAATACTACATCATGAGAGTTATTAAGTGCATCACCTCTAAAATCTTAATGTCTAGTGTGATTTTAATTATATGGTTGGACTCAGTTTGATAGGGATATCAAACTTTAAAAATTGAGAAATTGTAATAATCTCAATTTCACATTGAAAGAATGTGTGAATATAGTATAATATATATAGATCTAAACTCAAAACTGGTGAAGTGTTTTTTATAAGATCAAACATGAGACTTTCATATTAAAGCAGATAATATCTCACAAGTTGAGTGCAAGTTTTTTAAAAAAATATGTAGATATAATAGTGGTACTTTTAAAGATTTTGAAATGAATTATGATAGAAATGCAAAAAAATTGTCAGGAATAATTAGAGGAAAACATAAGTTTTGCTACTTTTTGTTGTTAAAGGAACTTATTATCTGAACAGATAGTACACAAGTAAAAGTTTTATTATGAACAATCATCCTTTAACATCTAATAGGAAAAATATCATAGATCGCATAATTTCTTTGTTGAATACAAGTTTAAGATTGAGCATATTAAAGGAGAAAATAATGTTTTACCTTATTTCTCATCCAGGGATGGCAATGATAAATGAAATCATTAATACAATAGAAAAGCATGAAAGAAAAGCTTGTTGATGAGCTTGACAATATTTACAAAAAATATGAGGCTAACTTTGACAACATGTATAAGCTACACGATGCTCTTATTGAAGCTTCAAATAAGTATGAATAGATACAATCTTAGATTGTTATCCTCAAGGAAATCAATGAAAAATATATTCTTTTTCCAAAAGAACAAATAAAAAAGCAAGAAACATCTCAAGCTTTCGCTGAGATTTTTTTGAGTCCATCGACCTCACGGTCCTTTAGAGTAAAATTCACTAATTTAACACAATATAGATCCAAGGAGAAACCCCTTTGGATACCCTAAAAGAAAACTTTCCACCATTACCATCCAATGAAGTTATTCTAAAAAACTTAGAAAAATTTATTGGTGCTTACCAAACCATTACAACCAAAGTTTATTCTCACACACATAAGCTAAATCTACTATTTTTGTTGACCATACAAAAATTTACCTAAGAGCTAATATTCTCCAAAAGAATAAACTTTAAATCTTCTCCAAAAGAAGATATTAAATAAATTTTTGAATATGGATACTTAGATCTTCTTTATATAAACTCAAACAATGCAAAATTGACATTTTTACCAGTTGAAGTCCATGATGCAGTAAATCAATACAGAGCCTATAAAAAATTCACTTTTGAACCAATATTTATTAAAGTCTTAGTGCAAATTCTGATATTTGTTAGGGTTTATCTTAAATCTTATAATTCATATCGAAAGTTAAGTAAAATTATAAGAGTTTTAGTTTATTTTATATCCCACACCGGGAGTTTAATAAATATATAAGAAGTTTTATACTTATAAATAAGATATTTTGATTTTGGTTTGATAATCCAACATAAACACTAATAGAATAGCTAAGAGAGTAGCCTATTAAAAAAGTGTAATTAGGTTTTGGATTAAGTTTTTGATGACTTTTTTTATTCCAAAAGTCTCACAATTGTAAAGATTTATTTTGGAGTAAGCCATTTTGAGTTAGACTGAAACAAATATATTTGTGTGTTCTTATTCTTAATTTAAATTATCATTTTGTGTTTGAGTTTTGCATGTGCATGTTGATTTTCCAATAAGTTGTATTATAGAAAGGTTTATGGGAAAAAGAGATAGGCCCAAGAGATCTTGGTCTCATGAAGTAAGTATTTCAAGATGTCTAGAGAAAGTATGTCTAATATGCTTATACCCAAGTTTGAGATTTCGTTATTTAATGAAAAGATTAATTTTATGTTATAACAAAATACGATTCAAGATCTGTTAGTACAACAAGAGTTGGATTAAGTATTAGAGAGTAGTAAGCTTAAAGAAATATCTGACAGTAATTGAAATAAAATTTAGAAAAAAGTTGTTGTACTATTATATTGGCATTAACCTCAGAGGTAAAATATAATTTGTTGACTAAGAGTAATTCGAAGAGTTTGTGGGATAAGCTTGAGAGTATTTATACATTGAAATCGTTGACAACAAATTATGTTTAAAGATGGGTATGTATTCTCTGAAGATGAAAGAAGGTACAAGTATTCATAATCACTTAAATGAGTTTAATAGATTAGTTTTTCAATTGTTGACAATTTTTATTGATAAATTAGAAAATTAAGAGAAGGCTTTAATTTTGCTGTCATTTTTATCCAAGTCTTATATATCTTTAGTTTGGACTTTGTAAGTGGATAGACTTACTTTGAAGTTGAATGATATGGTTGTCCTGTTGTATGAGAATGAAAGGTTTATAAAAATATAAAAGCTCATCATCTGGAGGGAGTACACTACCTGTAAAGGGTTTTGATCGAAAGATGACTCACAAGAAGATTAATGGATTAAGAAGAAAATCCAAATCAAGAGATAAATATTACAGTGATATAGAATATTATTATTATGGTAAAAAATAATATATCAAAATACGCTACAAGAAACTAAAAAGGGATATGATTGCTTTTAAAAGGACGAATGATGAGGAAAAATCAGATGAAGAAAAAAGTGATACTGCTACTATTGTATTTGACGATGATAATATCATTTTGACAATATGTGTAGATAAGACTCAGACTTTGAAAGGTGATAAAAGTTAGATTTTATATTCAGTTGCTATAGTCCATATTTGCAATAATAAGAGTTACTTTGTGGAGTTGGAAGAGAATGAAAAGTATGAGGATATTATGGTTGTCAACAATGAAAAGGTACAAATTTAAGGCATTAGGAATGTCACTTTGGATCTCACAATGATGTTGTTAGGGCCTTTCATCATGTAAGGTATATATCAAGTTGTAACTATAATTTGAATGTTTTTGGTAAGTTAGCATCTCGAAGGTACACATACTATGATAATAATAATTGGTTGAAAGTGTACAAGAATAGTAGTGTGATTCTACGAGAAAATAAGATCAAAAATCATTTGCACATGCTTGATGGAAGCTTAGTTGTTGAGATTCTTGTGACAAAAGAAAAAAAAAAGTAAGTATATCAACTTTCCAAATACTGTTAAAATATTTAAAGATTCAAGTTAATTGAGGATTTATTGAGGTTTACTTTGAATCTTATAATCTCACATCAAAAGTTAAGTGAAGTTATAAGAATTTGAGTTTGTTTTATATCACAAGTCAGGAATTTAATAAAGGTATAAGAGTTTATCTTTATAAATAATATGTTTTCATTTGATAATCTTAAATAGTTAGATATTAAAAGAATAGTTAAGTGACTAGCTTATTAAAAATGTATAATTGAATTTTGAGTTAAGTTTTAAGTAATAAATTTTTGATGACTTTTTTTATTTTAAAAATTTTATAATTATAAAGATTTATTTGTTAAGAGATTAAGTTTGAAATAAATCATTTTAAAATATATTGAAATAAATATATTTGTGTATTTTTATTTTTAATTTAAATTTATTATTTTATATGTTGATACTACACGTATGGATGATTTTTTTAACAATATTCGAGATGAAACCGTATTTACTGGAGAATTTATTATCAGCATCTGATAAGTACAATGCTACCATTGCTATGGAACAATCCCACAAGCCTATTCCAAAGATTGATGAAGGATTTATGACAATTAGACGATGCCAAGGATTCAGAGTCCTTAATGCAACTATTCAAAGGCCATTAGACACAGGAAAATCCTGGATACACAATACGACAATTTTATCAAGTTTCAACAATGTGTCAGATTCACTGAGCTACACAAACAAAAGTTAAAATAAAGCAGACATCTGTCAATTCTGCATCAAAATGCAAAAGACAATACCAGCTTGCAGAACAAATCCGTAGGCAAAAAGGTTGAGGAGACACCATCTGAAGAAGAAATGCCCTGTACCCAATGTAATCCACACCATGAGTGTTTTGTTAACCTCATTCGCCTGACCTTCTTATTCAGTAAGCGACGGGAGTTCCTCTCACCGTGCCCTGAAGGTGTTTTGTATCTAGATTCACAGTGCGGTGGGAGGAACTCTAACATGATGCCAAAGATTTTACAAAAAATTTTGATCTGGAGGATTTTTTAAATATTTCTTTCTTTTCATTTATCTCCCTATTTTACGAGCATGGATTTCACAATGCAAGTATGTGATCTTCAACTATAGTTATTTAATAAAAATAAATTATTTTAGGCGTGGAAAGATTAAGTGTTAAAAATTATAAGTTGAAAATGTTGAAGCAATGTCCATGTCCCTCACCAATGCTTCTCATGCTAACAACCTTGTCGGTGGTTGGGTCATGAGCTGTAAAGATGAAAAAATGCATATTCTAAGGTTCCAGTATATTCGCCATTTAGTCAAAAGTCATATTAACTGACAAATAAAAAGTTAGATAATAAAGATTTATTATTAATTATTATTTTATTATTATAAAATGCTCTTAAATTTTTTTATTTTCAAAAAACAAAATTTTGATATTACATGAAAATTATTTATGTTACTTATTTGATAATTTTGTCAAAAAAAAAAAAATCTTTGCAGTTGCTTGGTAGTTGATATGAAAGGCTTCATCATTTGGTTTACAGCTGGTTACCAGTCAACAGTCAACAGTCAATAGTTAACAACTATAGAAGTGGTCCTCCATTTTACTTGCTACCCAATCCCAAGCTCACCAATGTAGTTTCCCTGAAATTCCAGATCTGATCCCCCTTTAATTTCCCTAACCATTACTAACACCTCTTTTTCTTCTAGGAAAATGGCGAAAGCACTTGTTTCTGCAATTATAAAGCAGCTAGTAAAAGTTATTGCTGAATAAAGTTGAATTGGATGGTTTGATCGCCCATCAATTTTCTTTCACCAATCAATCAATTAATATCTCTCTCTCTCTCTCTCTCTCTCTATCAAAATGGCCTCAGCACTTGTTTCTGCCATCTTGGAGCAACTCGCTGCTATCGCTACTGAGAACGCGTGGCAAGAGCTGAAGTTGGTGACAGGTGTTGAGAAAGAAGTCGAAAAGCTTGACAGGAATTTTAAGGCCATCCGCAATACGCTTGAAGATGCAGAGCAAAGGCAAATTGTGGAGAAAAGCGTGAAAGGCTGGTTAGATAAGCTCAAAGAAGTGTCTTATGACATGGAGGACGTGTTGGATGAGTGGAGCACTGCACTCTCCAAGTTGCAAACAGATCCTGAATTAGATGTAAGTGCTTCTATTCCCAAGAGGATGAAAACTTCCATAACTTCATGTGTTTCTTCTTTTTGTCAAGTTGTTAGGCGTCATGACATTGCTAGCAAAATAAAAGGAATCAATGAAAGGCTAGATGAGATTGCTAAGGAGAAAGATAGATATCATTTGACAAAAATAGAAACCAAACAATTTAGACGAGTAGAGAGTACATCTTTTGTTGATGTGTCCAAGTTACATGGTCGAGAAGAGATTAAAAAGGAGGTACTGGAGAAACTGTTGAATGGGACTAGTGAAGAATGCTGCATTCAGACCATCTCTATAGTAGGGATGGGAGGGATCGGAAAAACAGCTCTTGCTCAATTGATCTTTAACGACCAAGAAGTTCAAGCACACTTCGACAATGTAATTTGGGTGTGTGTCTCGGACTCTTTTGATGGAATCAAAATTGCGAGAGCGATTTTAGAATGTCTTGAGCAGAAGTTACCTCTTGATCAGAAGATACTTGAAAAGCTCCCAAGTTCAACTTCCTTACAACATTATCTGACCATAATTCGTAAAAAATCGAAAGTTCAAAATTCCTGCTTGTTTTAGATGATGTGTGGAAAGACCGTGATGAAGATTGGGACCCACTAAAAGTTGTTTTTCGACAAGGCATGTCTGGAAGTAGGATTTTGGTGACTACTCGTAAAAAGCCAGTTGCAACGGGGATGGGATCCTGTCAAGTGTTTCATTTGGAAGAATTATCTGACGAAGGTTGCTGGTTAATACTTAGTCAATTGGCCTATATGGGAAAGGGAAATGAGTTGCGTGAAAAGTTGGAGGATATTGGAAGGGAAATAGCAAAGAAGTGTAAAGGTTTACCGCTTGCTGCAAAGACTTTGGGAGGTTTGTTACGGGAGAAAAACACTAGGAATGAGTGGCAAAATATACTGAACAGTGAGATATGGAAATTAAAAGTTGCAGAAAAAGGCATTTTCAGACCTCTCCTGCTAAGTTATTATGATCTGCCCTCAGAAATAAGACCATGCTTATTATATTGTGCAATCTTTCCCAAAGATTTTGATTTTTGGCCAACTGAATTAATTAAGCATTGGATGGCACATGGTTATCTAAACTGCAAGGAGAATTTAGGGATGGAAGAAGGAAAAGGTGGTGAATACTTCAACTATTTAGCATCTCGTTCTTTTTTTCAAGACTATGAAAAAGATGAGGATGGTAACGTAATTGAATGTAAGATGCATGACATGGTACATGATTTTGTCCAATATTTGACAGATGAAGAAATTGTGGCGGTGGAGTTTGACAACAGTGAAACTGTGAGGCTTGATTTATCTTCCAAAAAGACTCATCATTTGAGGGTAAAGATATCAAAAGAGGATCAATTTCCTGTGTCTATAAAAGGCATAGAGAACCTACGGAGCCTTCTAGCTGGTGGTCAACAGTGTGATGTAACTGGTGAAGCCTTGGCAGCATTCTTCAAGGGAGCGAAATGTCTAAGATTATTTGAGTTTGCGAAGGAGTGGTATGGTCATGTAAATGTAAAAGAAATTCCAAATGAAATAGGGAAATTAATTCATCTGAGATACCTTAATTTTTGTGGCTGTGGGAATTTAAAAGAATTGCCTGAAGAAGTGTGTGAATTGCATAATTTGCAATACTTGAATCTCGATGGTTGTCATAATCTTGAGAAACTACCAGATGGTATGGGGAAATTAATCAACCTGAGGTATTTTTATTCTAAGTATTGTTTTGGGCTACAATATTACCCAAAAGGGATTGGGAGATTAACTTCTCTCAGGGAATTAATCCCAATCAGAGCGAGAGTAGATGGCAAAGACGCAGCTAAAGAATTCAGTGTGGGAGATTTGGAAAACTTGGACCTCCTTCGTGGATATCTTCAAATAAAAGTGGTGGGAAATGTGGTTGATGTGGGAGAGGTTAAGAGAGCCAAACTTCACAACAAGAGACATCTTGACCGCCTGGATCTGACTCATGGAGAGATAAATCCTAATGGCGTCATTCAAGCCTTAAATCTACCTCCTTCCTTTGACATATCGATAGTCGAAGTGCTTAGGTGGATCAGGTACTCTTTCTATCTATTTCTCTTTCCAATTTTTCTTCAAATTAAATTTGTTCAATTCTTTTTTTTTAAAAAAGAGCTAATAGACACATTTCAATTTTTTTTTCTCTTCACATGTTTTTTTTTTTAATTTTCTTCTAAGTAAGATTATTTAATTATTTTTTCATCTCAATTTTAAAACTTGCAGATATATATTTTTAGTAAACTTTATAATTTATGGATATAAAAATCTAATAAATTATATAACTTATTGTTTATGCACATTCAATTAATACAAAAAAGTCACATTTAAGGTTTGGAAAAAAAAATTAAGTGAGAAAAAATATTTTGAAAAATTTTCATAACATCATAAAAAAGGTGTAAATTGTTTTAAATAATTATAAACTCATTTATAAATTGATAGAAAAAATTATGCATGTGGATTTTTAGATTTTTTTTATTTGAAGAACGTGAGATAAAAATTTTTAAATTTTTGGATATGCAAGTTTGAAATCTTTTAAAAGTTTTTGGATATGTAAATCTAAAAACTTGTAAAAACTTTTAGATTTATAAATTCAAAATTTTAAAAGTAGTAAAGATATGAAAAAGAAAAATAATTATTAAATAATTTATTTAAAAATGATTTTCAAAAAAAGTGTATGAAGATTAAAAAGAAGAGTGTGAATAAAAACTCCTTATAAAAATCACGTCAAAGTATAATTATAATTTTACCATGTGTTTTAAATTGATATTACAAGGATAACCTTTGACTTTGTTCTTTCCAGCTTCAAAAGAAGGTCAACGTAAGGGTGAATCAGAGGAGCTGCCATCCGTGGGAAGAAGAAATGGTGCTGGCTTCTACCTCTTTTATGCTTTTAGATATCTATATTTTTAAAACATTCAGTATGTGATTGTCTAAAATCATGTAAAAACTTAATGTGTGTCCGCTGCTGTCTTTGGTCCCTGCTTTGAACCATGATTTGAACTCTCGAGCTGTTCGACCAAATCCTGCAGCTTACTTCTGTATTTGTATAATTAATTTGTTGTGTGCTTGATGTTTGTATGGATTATTTGTGGGATCTTTAACTTGTAATGTATTATTTTAAATGTATGGAGTTATTTATGTTTAATATTATTGAGGGGCTAATTTTTTTCTCAATATAATCTTTTTTGTTTGGTGTCATTAAAATTTACTTAGTATAAATAAATGCAAACCAATCATAACAGCTCCAATCAAGTCTTGGTTACAAATAATTTTTAATCTCGCAGACATTTTGACAAAAGCAACATTAACATTGCAGGGAATTGATAAGAAAATTAAACCCAACAAATATTCTCAAGTTTTATGTTTCAATATTTCATGAAATTTTTAAAACTTGCCAACTTGGTTATAATTTACTAGTTATTTCCTATGATGTGATCAAACTAATTTTGACTTTTAAATCTTCAATTCCAATTGTTTTGACTAAAATCTTTCATGCATTTAGATGCTGTTTTTAGATTTTTCAACACTTGAACGCTTTAATAAATTCCTAAAAAATTTATACTAATTACTATATTTGAATATATCTTTGAATATGGATACCTGGATTTTCTTTATATAAACTCAAACAATGTAGAACTGACCTTTTTACCAGTTGAAGTCCATAATACAGTAAACTAATACAGAGCCTATAAAAAATTCACTTTTTACCTTAAATTCGTAATTTCAAATGACAAATTAAATAAAATTTTAAGAGTTTAAATTTATTTTGTAGAAGAAATCTATCGGCCAAAAAGTTGAAAAGACACCATCTGAAGAAGAAATTATCTTTAAAGACTTCATTGTTTACGTCATGTAAAGATATTTCTTGAATAATATTGCGAGGAGAAATATCCTGCACACAATGTAATCCATACCATGAGTGTTTTGTGAAACTCGTTCGCCTGACCTTCTTATTCAGTAAACGACGGAAGTCCCTCTCACCGTGCCCTGAAAGGTGTTTTTAAAAAAATATTTTGATCTTAAAAATTTTTTTTAAATACTTTTTTCTTTTCCTTTATCTCCCTATTTTATGAGCATGGATTTCATAATGCAGGTATGTAATCTTCAACTATAGTTATGTAATAAAAATGAAATATTCTAGGCATGGAAAGATTAAGTGGTAAAAATTATAAGTTGAAATGTTGAATAAATGTCCATGTCCCTCGCCGATACCTCTCATGCAAACAACCTTGTCGGTGTTTGGGTCATGAGCTGTATATGGGATGTTGCAACGTGCAAAAAGCATATTATAAGGTTCTAGTATATTCGCCATTTAGTCAAAAGTCATAGTAACTGACAAATAAAAAGTTACATAATAAAGAATTATTATTATTTTTATTATTTTATTATTATAAAAAGCTCTTGGATTTTTTATTTTCAAAAATTTTTTTTAATCACTGCATGAAAATTATTTATGTTACTTATTTGATAATTTTGTCAATATATATATATATATATATTTGCAAGTGCTTTGTAAGTTGATATGAAAAGCTTCATCGTTTGGTTTACAGCTGGTTACCAGTCAACAGTCAACAGTCAACAATTATAGATGTGGTCCCCCATTTTCCTGGCTACCCAATCCCAAGGTCACCACTGTAGTTTCCCTGAAATACCAGATCTCATCGCCCTTTAATCGCCCTTTAACCATTACCAACACCTCTTTTCTTCTAGGAAAATGGCGGAAGCACTTGTTTCTGCAATTATAGAGCAGCTAGTAAATGTTATTGCTGAATAGAGTTGAATTGAATGGTTTAATCGGCCATCAATTTTCTTTCACTAATCAATCGATTAATCTCTCTCTCTCTCAAAATGGCCGAAGCACTTGTTTCTTCCATCTTGGAGCAACTCACTGCAATCACTGTTAAGAATGCACGGCAAGAGCTGAAGTTGGTGACAGATGTTGAGAAGGAAGTCGAAAAGCTTGACAGCAATTTTAAGGCCATCCGCAAAACGCTTGAAGCTGCAGAGCAAAGGCAAATTATGGAGCAAGAAGTGAAAGGTTGGTTAGATAAGCTCAAAGAAGTGTCTTATGACATGGAGGACGTGTTGGATGAGTGGAGCACTGCACTTTCCAAGTTACAAACAGATCCTGAATTAGATGTAAGTGCTTCTATTCCCAAGAGGTTGAAAACTTCTGTAATTTCATGGTTTTCTTCTTTTTGTCAAGTTGCTAGGCGTCATGACATTGCTATCAAAATAAAAGGAATCAATGAAAGGCTAGATGAGATTGCTAAGGAGAAAGATAGATATCATTTGAAAAAAATAGAAACCAAACAATTTAGACGAGTAGAGAGTACATCTTTTATTGATGTGTCCAAGTTACATGGTCGAGATGAGATTAAAAAAGAGATAGTGGAGAAATTGTTGAATGGGACTAGTGAAGAAGGCTGCATTCAGACCATCTCTCTAGTAGGGATGGGAGGGATCGGAAAAACAGCTCTTGCTCAATTGATCTTTCATGATCATCAAGTTGGAGTACACTTCGACAAAGTAATTTGGGTGTGTGTCTCGGACGATTCTGATCTAAACAAAATTGCGAGAGCAATTTTAGGAAGTCTGGACAAAGGTTCAGCTACGAACCTCCGAAATCCAATTACCTTAGACGATGTTCTGACCAAAATTTGTGAAAAAATCAGAAGTGCAAAATTCTTGCTTGTTTTAGATGATGTGTGGACAGACCGTGATGAAGATTGGGAGCCACTAAAAGCTGTTTTTCGACAAGGCATGTCTGGAAGTAGGATTTTGGTGACTACTCGTAAAGAATCAGTTGCAACGGGGATGGGGTCCTCTCGAGTGTTTCATTTGGAAGAATTATCTGATGAAGTGTGCTGGTTAATACTTAGTCAATCGGCCTCTATGGAAAGGGGAAATGAGTTGCTTCGAAAGTTGGAGGATATTGGAAGGAAAATAGCAAAGTAGTGTAAAGGTTTGCCGCTTACTGCAAAGACTTTGGGAGGTTTGTTACAGAATAAAAATCTAAGGATGAGTGGCAACAGATTCTGAATAGTGAGATATGGAAATTAAATGTTGCACAAGAATACATTTTCACACCTCTCTTGCTAAGTTATTATGATTTGCCCTCACAAATAAGACCGTGCTTATTGTATTGTGCAATCTTTCCCAAAGATTTTGCTATTCAGCCAGCTAAATTAATTAAGCATTGGATGGCACATGGTTATCTAAGCTCCAACGAGAATTCAGGGATGGAAGAAGAAAAAGTTGGTGAATACTTCAACTACTTAGCATCTTGTTCTTTTTTCCAAGATTTTAAAAAAGACAGACATGGCAATATAAATAGATGCAAGATGCATGACATGGTACATGATTTTGTTCAATATTTGACAAGGGAAGAAATTTTGGCAGCGGAGGTTGACAGCAGTGAAAATGTGAGGATGGACGTATCTTCCAAAAAGAGTCATCATTTGAGGGTAAAGATTGGAAAAGGGGATCAATTTCCTGTGTCTATAAAAGGCATAGAGAAACTACGGAGCCTAGTAGTTCATGGTGACGAGTATGATGTAACTGGTGAAGCCTTGGCGGCATTCTTCAAGGGAGCGAAATGTCTAAGATTATTGGATTTTGCGATGGAGTGGTATGTTCATAGAAAAGTAAAAGAAATTCCAAATGAAATAGGGAAATTAATTCATCTGAGATACCTTAATTTGAGTGGCAGTGATAATTTAAAAGAATTGCCTGAAGGAGTGTGTGAATTGCATAATTTGCAATACCTGAATCTCTGGTATTGTGCTGATCTTGAGAAACTACCAGATGGTATGGGGAAATTAATCAACCTGAGGTATTTTAATTCTACGTATTGTTTTGGGCTACAATATTACCCAAAAGGGATTGGGAGATTAACTTCTCTCAGGGAATTAATCCCAGTCAGAGCGAGAGTAGATGGCAAAGACGCAGCTAAAGAATTCAGTGTGGGAGATTTGGAAAACTTGGACCTCCTTCGTGGATATCTTAATATAAAACTGGTGGGAAATGTGGTAGATGTGGAAGAGGTTAGGAGAGCCAAACTTCACAACAAGATACATCTTGACAGCCTACATCTGTTCTATGGAGAGACAAATCCTAATGACGTCATTCAAGCCTTAAATCTACCTCCTTCCTTTGACATACCGGTGGTAAAAGCATCGGTGGGAGATCGGTACATCAGGTAGTGTTTCTATCTATTTCTCTTTCCAATTTTTCTTCAAATTAAATTCGTTCAAATTTTTTTTTAAAAAGAGAGCTAATAGACACATTTCAATTTTTTTTTCTCTTCACAATTTTTTTTTTAAATTTTCTTTTAAGTAAGATTATTTAATTATTTTTTCATCTCAATTTTAAAACTTGCGGATATATATTTTTAGTAAATTTTTTAATTTATGGATATAAAAATCTAATAAATTATATAACTTATTGTTTATGCATATTCAATAAATAAAAAAAAGTTAAATTTAAGGTTTGGAAAAAAATCAATTGAGAAAAATATTTTGAAGAAATTTCATAACATCATAAAAAAGTCACAAATTTTTTTAAATAATAATAAATTTATTTACAAATTGATAGAAAAAACTATGCATGTGAGTTTTTAGATTTTTTTATTTGAAGGATGTGGGATAAAAATTTTTTAAATTTTGGATATTTAAGTTTGAAAATTTTTAAAAGTTTTCAGATTTGTAAATCAAAAAATTTTTAAAAGTTTTTAGATTTATAAATCATCCAAAAGTTTAAAAGTAAAAGAGATATATATAAAAAAAATTATTTATTTAAAAATGATTTTAAAAAAATGTATGAAGATTAAAAAGAAGAGTATGAATAGAAACTCCTTATAAAAATCACTTCAAAGTATAATTATAATTTTATCATGTGTTTAAAATTGATATTACAAGGATAACCTTTGACTTTGATCTTCCTAGTGCCAAAAGAAGGTCAACGTAAGGCTGAATCAGAGGAGCTGTCATCCGTGGGAAGAAGAAATGGTGCTGGCTTCTACCTCTTTTATGCATCTATATATATATATATATATATGTATTTTTAAAACATTTGGTATGTGATTGTCTAAAATAATGTGAAAACTTAATGAGTGTCCGCTGCCGTCTTTGTTCCCTGCTTGGAACCATGATTTGAACCCTGGAGCTGTTGGACCAAATCCTGCGGCTCACTTCTGTATTTGTGTAATTAATTTGTTGTGTGCACGTTGCTTGTATGGATTATAGGTGGGATCTTTAACTTGTAATGTATTATTTTAAATGTATGGAATCATTTATGTTTAATATTATTGAGGGGCTAATTTTTTCTCAATATAATCTGTTTTTGGTATCATTAAAATTTTTTTGAAACTATTATCTTAATAATTGATCATGTTTATTTATTTTGTTTTGTAATGTATTATGACACTTAAATAACTCTATTTTTCTTTGTTATTAGTGCATTTTACATACTATATTCATAATTAGTCTGATAGTCACTAACTTCTTTCTTAAGTGGATTGCAATTCCCAAAGAGGATTGCAATTCAAAATTAATTTTAAAATTGAGGTTTCATTGAATTACATGAAACAAATCAAAATGAAAAGTTATTTCATTTAAAATTGTGATATTTTTTTAAAGACAAATAAAAAAATAGATGATAATTTTTAATTCATCTGTAAAATTTAAAACTTCAATTTCGCCAGTAGACTATATATTTATATATAGTTACATATGCTATATGATGATAATTCTTTTTGAGCTTTGGTCCAATAAGAAAAACAAAAATTTTCATCTCAAATGGCAACCAGGTCTTATGTCAATGAAGAAAGGGAAAAAAATTTGTTTTAGGAAAAAACCAAAGCTTAATTACATATGATGTTGATCTTATAATTTAATGTAATTACTCTAACTGAAGTTAAGAATTAAGAATATGAGTAACATTAAAAAACAATTAGTAACGACAAAGAATTAATTATGTACGCTAACAAAAATTAAAAAAAAAATTATATTTGTATTGTTATACATACATCAGTTCTTAAACTTTTTATAATTAACGTTCTTTTTTCTCCTAGAGATTATACATTCACGAATATGTAAAAAATACTTTGTACATGAAGAATCATATATGACAAAAAAAGGTTAAAACTCAAACATATAAAATTTTATATAACTCAAGTACAGAAAAAAGATAAAAATTTTATAAAACTCAAGTGCAGAAAAAAGATGAGTCAATGATGCATATGTAAATATAAAAAGTAAATGCATGCCAATCATAATAGTTCCAATCAAGCCTTGGTTACAAATAATTTTTAATCTCGCAGACATTTTAACGAAAGCAACATTGACATTGCAGGGAACTGATAAGAAAATTAAACCCGACAAATATTCTCATAAAATTTTCAATGTTCCAATATTCCATAAAAAAAATTTGTCAACTTAGTTACCATTTACTAGTTATTTCCCATGATGTGATCAAACTAATTTTGACTTTTAAATCTTCAAATCCAATTGTTTTGACTAGAATCTTTCATGCATTCAGATGTTGTTTTTAGATTTTTCAACACTTGAATGCTCTAGTAAATTCATAAAAAATTTTACACTAATCACTATATTTGATTAAGAAAAAGAAAATTTTTTACATTTATTTTCTGCATGACACGAGTTTAGTTGAGATGTGATCGGTGGTCCGGTATGCAGACAAGAACACCAATAGCTTCCAAACTGATCATCTTCCATGTGGTGCCCTTTAAAGCAAACATAAAAAAAGATTGTGCTTTTCACTAATTATTAATACTTTATCTCAAAATTCAAAAGCAAAAAAGATACCCAGATCCTCCATTGATGCTCTGCAACTCTGCAAATTTGCCTACTTCAATTAAAGGTATGGGAATTTCTCTTTTGACCCAGGTTCAAAATTTGTTAACTTTTACGCTTTAGATCTTGAAAATGTGACAGCCGCCAAGAATAATGGGTCTCTTTCAGAATTCATGGCTTTTCATTTTTTGTTTTGAGATGAAACGGCGATGCCTTTTTTTAGAGTAATATTAGTTCCAAGGAAATGATTATTGGAAGTATACTTAGCTGTAAAAGCCTCGTCTTTGGCTGTTCTTAGGACGGCGAAGGGGAAGCTTACGCTTGTGAATTGGTCTCTTGAGTTTTTGGTACAGAAGGAAAATTTGACGTTTCTAGGAAAGTCTGAATAGTAGAAATCCTTTCATGTTTTAATTTTCTTGCTTCATCATGTATATTTTGAATGCTTGCTTTGGTGGGTTTTTTTTTTTTTATTGGTTTGGTGGCGTCTGTATTGCATTCTAGGGGAAGAGAAGACCAGATATAAATCATCTGTTTGTTTTGTTTTGGTTTTGATAGGTATCGTCTGCTGTATCCATATGGTGGGAAAAGATTTCAGGAAGTTGTTTGGAGATTTCATTCCTTAATTGTCATTCTTTAGTGGTTTTTTCTCATTGTAGTAGTTGTTGTTGTTGTCTGCGTTTATATCAGGGGTTTTTGTTTTCAGGCATTCTTGTATTTGGCCTGTAGTTGTTGATTTTGATTGGTTTGCGGAGGAAGGAAACAGTTTTTTTTTATAGGAATTGGGAATTCCTATAGATATTTGAGTTGATGGGAGGTCGTAGCTCAAGGGAGGGGAGTTGGAGGCAGAATTCATCTTCAGGGGATTCTCACTATGGGTATCCTCAGTCGTCATATGGTCAAGAAAGCCAGAGTTATGTGCCTCAGCATAGCTATGCCTCCCCACAGTATTATCCACCATCTCAACAAGAGCTGCAGTATTATCCACATTCACAAGACCATGGCAGCGATAAAAGGACGATAGACAGGAGGTATTCAAGAATTGCAGACAATTACAACTCCTTAGATCAGGTTAATTTCTTCATTGATTTCTTTTTATTATAAGTTTTTATATATTTACGCTTTCTTCTTTTCCCCAGCAACAATTCAGTAGTTTATTTTGTACTGTGTTTGGTCAAGTTGATGAAGGAAAGGTGACATGAATCATTTGATTACAGGTGACGGAGGCTCTTGCTAATGCTGGTCTTGAATCTTCCAATCTTATTGTTGGTATTGATTTCACAAAGAGCAATGAGTGGACAGGTTAAGATCCACTATCTTAATTGCCAGTAATATGTGTTTTTAGCCATAGTAGAGCCTGCTGAATCTGGCTTGTTTTGAAGGGAAAAGATCATTCAATAGAAAAAGTTTGCACCACATTGGAGATGTTTTAAATCCTTATGAACAAGCAATATCAATCATTGGGAAAACCTTAGCTGTCTTTGATGAGGATAATTTAATTCCTTGCTTTGGATTTGGTGATGGTATGTATTTAATTTATTTTCGCTATGAGAATGCCTATTTACTTATATGCAGATGCTAAGAATTACTTGTATCTGTTGGCAGCATCAACACATGATCAAGATGTCTTCAGTTTCTACCCAGATGAGAGATTTTGTAATGGATTTGAGGAAGTCTTAAGCCGATATAGAGAAATTGTGCCTCATCTGCAACTTGCTGGTTTCCATTACCTCCTGTTTTTCATTCTTGTTCTGAGTTACCTCTTGAAGCATATCCAATAAAATAATTAGTACAATATCTTTTCAGGACCTACATCATTTGCTCCTATCATTGAAATGGCTATGACCATTGTTGAGCAGAGTGGTGGATACCATGTGTTAGTGATAATTGCTGATGGGCAGGTATTTTTCTGTGTGTGTGGGTTTACTTCACTTAATTAGTTTCTAGATTATCTTGAAAGCAAAATTGGTCAGAAAGGAAACTTTTGTGAGGATTGGCATGGGAATAAAATGAATAAAAAATACTGACATAATGGTTTATTTTACCACTTATGATTTTTCTAGCAATGTGTTATTACTATTTTTATTAACTTTTTTATAATGGTTCAGAATGATTTACTAAGTTTCATATGGGTTTAATATCACTAATAGTGATGGTTGTTTCAGGTGACTAGAAGCGTTGATACTCTGCATGGCCAGCTAAGTCCACAAGAGCAGAAGACTGTTGATGCCATAGTGCAAGCAAGGTGAACATAATGTAACCTATTTCATACTTTGTTTTTTTCTGTGCAACCATTTTTTTTCTTAATTGTTTCATATATTTCAGCAAGCTTCCTCTGTCAATTATATTGGTTGGTGTTGGAGATGGACCTTGGGACATGATGAAGGAGTTTGACGATAACATTCCTGCTCGAGCATTCGATAATTTTCAGGTAAATTCTGAGTGCATACAAGATATTTCATGTTAGATATCATCTGTCTTTCGTACCTATGGTATTATCATTATGCTTCAGTTGTTAAGGTTTTTCTCCTTGTGCTTCTCTTTCTCTAGTTTGTGAATTTCACAGAGATTATGTCAAAGAATACAGCCCCATCCCGGAAGGAGACAGAATTTGCTCTAGCTGCTTTAATGGAGATTCCTTCACAATACAAAGCAACCATTGAGCTTAATATTCTGGGGTAATAATTCGTTCTGTGTTGGTCATTTAAAAGGTTTTTGTGTTACCCTTTTGCAACTCAAGTTTTGATGGTGATTTTCAATTTATTTGTTGTGCAGTGGCCAAAAGGGTAATGTTCCTGAGAGAGTTCCCCTACCTCCTCCTATATATGGTGCAGCATCTTTCAATAGCTCAAAACCTTCCCATTCTACCAGTTTCCAATATGGTTCAGCATCTTTCAGCAGCTCAAAACCTTCTCATCCTACCAGCTTCGAGCCAAGTGTCCCTCCTTATCCTGGAGATACTAGTCCTGTCAGCTCAGCTACCCCAGCTTCAAGTTCTACTTATGATAGCCAGGTATGGGAATTTTAATGTAGTTGTTCAGTCGGTCCATATATATTCTATTAATAACAAGCTGCCTTGGCATTCAACTTTTGAACTGAAATCTGAAAGAACCAAAGACTTGAGATTGTAAATTTCTCTATTCTTCCTCCTCTTCGTCCTATCTTACTCTTACACTGCATATTTGATTATTTATCTTGATGGCTAATATCCCTTCACTGATGTTTTGAACAGATTTGTCCCATTTGCCTTAGTAACTCAAAAGACATGGCATTTGGTTGCGGGCATCAGGTAAAAATCTCTAATGCTTTTTCTTGTCAGTTCTTCATTTAGATAATTGTAGAGGAAGGTGCTGACATAATACTACCCGATGTATTTTTCTCTCAGACCTGTGAAGAATGTGCAAAAGGCCTCCAAACCTGCCCAATATGTCGAAGTCCGATCCAAACCAAAATAAAGCTCTACTTCTGATATTTTTGTTAAATTATCTTTGCTCATCATTCTTTGTTAATTTGTTATTGAGAACATGCAATTAGTGATAGGTCTGATGAAGTTAGTTTCTGGTGCCAATGACCCAAAGAAGGGGATCTCATCCTTTGTACATTCTCTTTTGGAGTGAACTCTCTGTACATTTATGATATTTGATTATTTCTTTTATTCCTCCTTGCCTTTATGAATTATGATCAATGCTCCTTCCATATATTTGTCCACATGAAAAGTTATGAGAGAAGCTGATGGATATTAATAAATTAGCTGGAGTTTACTCTATAGCGCAGCAGTGCACAGTTATTGGGATGTAAATTAGGTCTATTTCTGGATTTAGTTTGACAGATATTTGGCCTTATTGATACTATAACCGTGAAATGTGAACCTTTGGTTGTTGTCAGGTCTGCACTTATCTCATTCTTCTGCTTCCAATAATTCAATCTTAGACTAAATCCTAGTAGAATTCTAGTAACAGAGTAAATTTTGGAATGCATCGTATGAAGAAGTGCGCTTTTGAGATTGTCCTAAAAAGAGATTAGGTTTAAACAAAATCTATGATTCATGGACTATTTCGAAAGTAAAATTTTGAATGCATCTTACGAGTGAGTGTACTTTTAAAATTTTACAATGAAGAAAATTAATCAAATCTTAGGTGTTACTTAAGGGTGGTTATATGGAGTTAAGCTCACCCTCTTAAATGGCTGATTTTCGTTGTAAAAAGAGTTAGCTAAATCACTTGTGAGATACTAATTTATTATTAGTAAATTCTAATTCTTGTGACCACCCAAGTGTTTTTTTAAGCTTCTCGAGTCTTTGATTATAGCTGATAGGGAATTTAATTCTGGTCTGCACAATAATTTTGAAGATAATCACATGCAAATTGTTAAGTAACTATATAAGAGATCGAATCTATTTGTTGGCTATGCATGCAGTACAAGATAATAGGGAGGATGACACTTCCATTTTTTATTTTGTTAACAAGAGTTTCGAAATCGCCAACATTTAATGCACTCAACTGTTTCAGCGAAACCAACCATTCATATTTAAGTGGAGATTAGAAGCTGAAAAACTCACTCCATCCAGATTCCTTATCCATTGAAAGAGACCAGCCACCTTCTTTACAAACTTATCTGGGTGATTTTCTGTTCATTGTTCAGCTTCTGAAATTCTCCAAGTCTACTATTGAGATGGCCTCAGCTGCCAAGTTTTCTTACCAGAGATTGAGAGATGAAGGTAATGAGCTTGATGCTGACGAAATAGCAGAGAGACTGATTGGGAGATCAAGAACCTGGTGCAGGCTTAAAATGGTACATGTTAGGAAGAGGTTTAGGCTTAAGGTTCCGAGCTTGAAAAGATTCATGAGGAGGAAAGTTAAGGTTGCCAGGCTTTCATTTGCCAAGCTGATGAAGAGATTGAAAGAAAGTCAGGTTCATTTTGGTGACCTTTTTGCTGGAAACTATATGTTCATTCAAATCAATCCTACCACCATGAAATGCTTTGAAAAATCTTGTGATGGCCCTGGCTTAAAAAGCTTACCTGCCACTTATTCTGTCCCTAAGATTACCTGATTTTTATTTTTTTTTAGTTTTACTAGTGTAATATAGGGTAGCTATTACTATTTGCAACCCTCTTTTGGCATCGTGTAATAATCCAGGATTGAACTGTAAACAAAGGGATCAGTTCAAGTAAGAATCTGGGAAAATATGTAACAGAAATTAATCAAAGAAAGGATGCAATTTCTGGAAAAGATTTCTATGTTAATTTCATTAGTACAAATCAAAATTCCAATGTAGTTTATTCATGATTCAATTGCAATTGCTAGTGCTGCATGTGGCATTCCAATACAGAATTCTTTAAGCAAGTGGGTGAATCTCAAGTTAAGGATAACTGTGAATGTTATGACTGTTTAATCTCTTTTTATCTAAAACAGGTGTATCAGTTACATATCAGTCATGTCAAAATTGAGCAACAGCTATAAAATTTTACTCGAGCTTAGTTCATGTAACCATGAGTAGCATGCAAGAAAAGGAAAATGCTTTGAAAAAGCTGCAAAACAATCTGCTCCAGCAAATTCTGTTTGAGGGCATTGAAAAGTGATGTACTACTAAAACAATTTTCAATATTATCGAGTCAGATGTGTCTGAATTTCTGTCACTAACAGAAAGCATTAACTCTTCATGATGGAGTTGTGGAAAAACATTACTAGTTGTCTAGATTTAGACACAAACAAATGAACGAATCATGTGATCTGTTTGAAGTTGGAGGATGGGCGTTAAAAGTCAATGTCTACCCCAACCAAGTGGACTTAAGTAGACATGTATTGCTTCTTGAGATAGAATTAGTTATGGCACTAAATGAATAATTTATTTATTTCCAAATTCATAAATAATTTATTTATATTTGAGATTACAAGAAATTGAGCTAGAATGAACTAAGAAATGTTTGAAGGTTTTGTGAAAGAATCATCATATCAAGGTGATTAAAAAATATTAGCTCTCTAACTTGAACAAGTAAATACAAGAAATGATATTAATCATCTTTGACAACATGTTAAGTACAAGAAAAAAAGTTATAAGATTATTAAGAGATTTACTTCTTAACTATCAGATTCATTTTAAATAAAAGATTGAAAATTCTAATATTGCATTAGACATTAATTTACTTAGAAAAATCGAACCGATAAAATAAAATCAATCATGTATTTTTAATGTATAGTTCATAGTAATACCAAAATTTCCAATTTGAAACTACCGGCCTTAACATCAAGATTAGGTTTCCAGTTTTATAATGCTTCTTTCGCTAAATTTTGCTTTTGGTAATATGATTAGGAGTGTCTTTTAACCACATTCAAGATTTACTTTTGAATGCTTTTCATGATAACCAAACAAGGTTGACAAAGACTCGTCTTTTTACCAATTGAAGTAAAGAATAATTGATATCTGCAATTATTTTAAAAAAATAATATTTAATAAATTTAAAATTTAAATAATAATATCCACGAATATTTATTTTTTTATCTCATAGTTAGGCTTCTTATATATAAATAATACTCCATTTTATCATTGAAATATTATACTTTTAAAAATATGGTACTTAAATAAAAAAAAATTAATCAACACCTAAATTATATTTTTATGTATCAACTTATTCTAATTCTTACCATTGTTAAAATAATATTAATGTGACACTTAATTGTTGATATGGATAACATGTGCTTGTCAAGTGGTTTAGATGTGATTGTCATGTATCATTTTTTAAAATAAAAAAATTTTAAAAATATAATTTTTAAGAAAATTTTTTTTTATTTTTTTACTTTTTAAAAATGGCACATGACATCGCATTAATGTCACATGGCATCTATGTGTCATTCACATTAATATTTAAGTGCCACGTAGCATTATTCTAACAATGTTAAAAAGTTGGAGTAATTTTATTCACGAAATTAAGTTTAGATGCTTGATTAAAGATTTTTTTAGTGTAGGTACCATATTACAAAATTTCAATAATTCAGTGACCAAATGAAGAATTATCCCAAATACTCTCTTATGATATTTCAATTATTAATAAGGCCCACAAACTCTCTACTTACACTTATTTACCGAGGCCCAAAGGACTCTCAAAGAAAGAGTAGACTTGACCCATTTGGCCCAAAATGAGACTCAAAACAACCCCATGTTGAAACGCACCGGCTTAGCTCTATAACAAGCCAAAAAAAATAAAGGAAAAAGCGAAGGGTTTTTGCTTTCCGAGTTTTTGAAGCAAAGCAGACCAAACCCTTCACTGTTCTTCACTCAGCTTTCACCAATGAAGTTCCTCTTTCGATCCATTTACAGTAAAAAAATTTCGAAACTTTACTTATATCCATTTCCTTTTTTCACTAGATTCATCGACCTGGCTGCTTATCTCGTTTCCTTTTTTCTTCTTTTTTTGTTGTTTAAAACAGGTCCCAACAGGACTCTGCTTCGAGCTCTGGGTCGGCGCCAGTTTTCTGATTCGGCAGGAGTAAAAGCCAAACGAAACTATGCTGAAAATGTCTCTGAATACAACACTGTCCTCACTTCTCTCGTTACTAAACGAAGGTTCTGCCTTTTCAGTTGTTGCTTTATCTGGGTCTTTTTTAATATACTCTATTTGTTTAGATATGGTTTAGCTTTTGCTTTCACTATTTTTTTTAGGGTTTGGATACAAAACCACATAATGTTTTGGAAGATCAGACCTTGAAGATGTTATTTATCATTTGAGAACTAAAATTCATGATTTTGTTTTTATAGTATATATATAACAGTTTTATTAGAATTAGATTTACGTTTTAATCATTTCTTCATTATTGATCAATTATGGTCTTACTTCGTAGCAACTTTTAAGGAAGCGAAAACTAGAGTAAATGAGTAGCAAACAAACATGGCCTTTTTTTTTTTTTTTTTTGTGAATCGAGTATGGTGGTGTAGGCATTTTCTGTTGAGGGATGTTTATGATGATATGATGCTGGATGGGGTACGGCCAACTAGAGATACTTTCGAGGCTTTGATTATGGGAACCATGAGAGGGGCACGGCTGCAAGATGCTTTCTTTTTCAGAGATGAAATGAAGGCCATGGGATTAGTCCCTGAGGTATTTTGTGTTCTATTCTGTCCTAATTAGTTGTTTCTTTTACAGTTATTGCTTCCCGATTTTTCATATTAAATTTACCATATTGAAATTGGCTATTTCATTCCCCCAAATTGATCAAATTATTTGTTAATTATTTTAGAATGACTATGAATTTTATTTATGTAATAGGTCACTTTATATAACTTTTTGATCTCAACCTGTGGGAAATGCAAGAATTCGAACCTTGCAATTCAGGTATGCCACTTATGTGTTTGCAGAGATATTTTATTTGTATAATTTTTGTATTGTTTTAATTTATCTTTTCTCTATAACCTCTAATTATTCAACCTAGTTGTTCTTTTTCATGTAAGATTCTGGAAGAAATGAAGAGATATGACGTGAAGCCTAATGGACAAACTTATGTTTGTCTGCTTAATGCATGTGCATCAAATGGACGATTAGATCAAGTGTATGCTACTATTTCTTTGGTGTAACTTTCCATTTTTAAGTTCAATGACTCTGCTTAAATTCCTTCGTCTATGAATGCTTGTTCCTTAGCCGTGATAGTATGGTGGTTCTTATTCTGCACTGTGGTTAGAATGAATTTTTACTTCTATATGATGAGAACTTCCAATATGTTCTTGCAAAACAACTATCCATCTCTCGCTTGCTGACTAGCCAAAGAAGATTCTGCAATTTTGAAAATTATTAAACTAATCTGCATATAAATGCTGTAGATTAGCAATAGTTCGTGATATGACTGCTGCTGGTGCTGAATTGAACAAGTTTTGCTACGCTGGACTTATTGTTGCACATACGAACAAGATGCCTAGAGCAGATGATATAGCAACCAAAGTAATTATCAAACTTTTATCTTTGCTCGAACTAGTGCTTTGTTCATTTTTCTTTTGTAGCTTTCTAACATTTCCCTCACCTCTCTAGATTATTGAGTTAGCTGAACAGTCTAAAGGATGGTCATCTCTTGAAGCAAGCGGAAATACTGGGAATGCAATGCTTGGCATTTCTGAAGAAGAGTTATACAACTTACCTACTGCTGATTTTGTTCATAGGCGCTTTTTCTTATACAGGCAGTTTACTGTATACCATGTTGCATTTCATGCTTGTGCAGACCTTAGGAATGTAGAGGTGCTGTCTCACATCTTCCAGAGATCCTCTTTGTATTATCATCTCTCTCTCTCTCTCTCTCTCTCTTAAGTACATTTGCACTCGATTGGAGGCATATGAAGTACTACGTTATTGCTCTTGCTATTCATTAAGCTGGTAATATATATATGTATGTATTTGTGCATCACAAGTTGATGTTATTGTTACAATTCCCTATCCTTGGTTTCTGCACTAAAATTTTGCCATATCATGGTTATAGAGGTATATATTCTTTCAGCAAGCTTTTAATTGACCTTAAAGTTAACAGTTTACAAGTTTGTTTACTTGGCTATAGTCTCTATACTGCCCCCACCAACTAGTTATCAATCTAGATGCACGAATATCATAGTGCATACACTGTTTGGATTTTTAACACACTGGGAAGTTACCTACCTTGTAGACTTATCTCCTCAACTTTTTTAGTAAACCATGAAGCAGTCTGACTTCATCCATTTTGTTTGGTGAAGCATGTTTTGTGTACTCTGCAATTGTTATTCTATTGACTTTTATTCATATATTTATCTTTGGTCATGGTAGGCGATGGAAACTTTACTGGAGATGCTCAAGAATGATGGTAAAATTCCTGACATCTTTATTACCGTGCAAATTATGAGGTATGCATTGTTGTTTCATTTATTTATCATTATTTAGCCATTTCAATGGAAAAAGCTTTCAGGTTGTTGACAACTTTCCTTTATTAATACGTTTTTTTAGATGCTATCTTAATGCTGGAGACATCGACCATGGTGTTCAAATTTTTGAAGACTACTTAAATGAAGGGAAGCCTCCAGTAATGGAACTTTATGCAGTGAGTTTTCATGCATTATTTGTTACTTGCTAAGATATTCTTCTGTCAATTTTTTCTATTTTCTCTGTGCTGTCTGGACACTTAACCATTTGTTTCTTTTTCTCTATTTTGGAAAATCTGGGGATTAACTTTGTGGTAATATCAGGTCTCCTAATTTCTAACATAGGATTTTACTGCTTAGAGTGCATTATATTTTCATAATATCTGTGAAGTCCACTTATTGTATGGAAGTGGAGATAATATAAGACCGCCTCTCTCTATTTTTTGTAATTCTGGGTGTCACTTTGTTCTATTGTCATAAAGGGAGGATATCTACTTGATAAAATGGCTGGTTTTTAATATGATTAATAGCATGCAATTCAATGTACTTGAAGTCATATAATCGTTAAGTTGTTGCAATTTTTTTGCTGTAGACACTTGTTGAGGGAGCTATGATTGGGTATACTCCCAGAGGAATGCAACTTGCTCAAGAAACACTGGTATGTATGATGGCACTTAGTTGATTCATTAACTTCCGAAATATCATAATTGTCTTCGTCATGTTGAATCATATGGTTTTGTTGGCTCAATTGCAGGTTAAGATGAATTCTAGGAACTTTTTCTTGAACGCTAAAGTAGGAAGCGATCTCCTCCTTGCTGCTGCTGGTGAGAAGGTAAGCAAATACTTAAGTTGCTAGACATTTTCTGGGAAGTAGAATTTATCGATCCTTCAATATATATTCTCTGCTTCTTTTTTTTTTTTTGTGAATGAATAGTTTGTCCGATATAATATTCTTAGAGCTTGTCATGTTTTCTGACACAGACGGGTGGATATACAAATGCAAACTATATATGGGACCTGATGCATGCTCGCAAGGTAGTTCCTTCTCTTTCTGCAGTGGACGCTTATTACAAAGGCCTAAAAGTAAGTCTTCTTACCTCTTGTGCTATCATCTGCCAAATTATTAGTTGTCTTTCATTGTTCATTTTCTCCTTTCTCTAGGTAGTTTGAGGAACAAACAGTGTTTCACAAATGTAAAATATGCTGTCATTTATGCAAGTACATGTCGTAGACAGGTGACTCAGATCTGTCTGGTCAAATTTACGGATTTTCTTCTCTTATTGCAGCAACGTGAGATACCGGAAAATGATCCAAGATTGCAACTAGTTTCTCGTACCTTAAACAACCTGCGTTTTAGATTCGGAAGAGGACCTGCTTGACCTGAGGAGGAAATCTGCTTTATTTTGTACCCAGTACTGTTGCCATGTTGAAGTAGAAATTTGAGGCAAAATCTTCTTCTTTAGTCATAGTAATTGCTACATATGAATGAATTGGTTCCATAAGAGAAGAGGAAATAGATGGATGGGCTTGTTTTGGATGCATGTGGCAGATATTAGGTGGTTCATTCTCCATTGTAAAATTGAACTTTTTTTTTTTTTTTGTTCTTAGCTAATTCAGTTGACATTTCTATTTTTCCAGAATAAAAAAAATAATTTATCTTACCAATTGTATGAATCATTAATTGTAAAAAATAAATAAAAAAAAGGTAGGTTCTTATACGAGTAATCTAATTAGTAATTCATTTTTTCCCTTAAAATTTTAAAAATTTAAAATTCTCTCTTTTGAGGCCATGGGAGTACCTTTTTCTTTGTCAAACCTTATCTTCCAAAGTTAGACAATGAAAGCCGAAAGGCGAAAACAGCAGAAACTCAAAACAACAAGGCAAAGAAAATGAAAAAGAATAAAACAGAAGCAAAAGTTAAAAGGAAACTTTAGCATTTAATCTTGAGGAGGAAGAAGATGAACAACAAGATGAAGGGTATCTGAAATCCATTGATGGCTTTGCTGAAACTGACAAGGAAGCTGCAAAGGATGAAGAAGTAAAACAAGATGATGGTTTCGAAGATGAAAATGGTATACACAACAGTAAGAAGAAGATGAAAAAGAAGTTGTTAAAGGAAGCAGCTGAGGCTGATAATCGTGGGGTTTGTTACTTGAGAAGGGTTCCACCTCATATGGATCATGTCAACCTACGTCAGTTGCTTTCTCAGTGTGGTGAAATACTTAGAATTTATCTTACTCCTGGTGAGTGGTCTCACCGATATTTCCAACTCAGAATCTGTTGCATGGGATTTCATTGACTTTACTAATGCAGGTCATCCACCCCAAGTAAAGCGTCCTAGACCCTCCAAAGTTCAAGAGCAAGAATTTTCTGAAGGGCATGCCATGTATATCTTAACAAAAGTCCTACATAGTTGTGAATTTTTAAAGGTTCCCCCTTTAATTTTACAGTTTTTTTTTTTAGTTATTAGCTTAAAGCTTAGATTTTGGCGTTGTGAATTCTAAAGAATTTTCCTTCTACCTTAAAGCTCAAAGATGTTTTGATGATAGGGTTTAACAATTGCTCTCATGTTTATTATGTAGGTGTGTTGAATTTGCTAGGAAAGGGATTGCAAAGAGGTTTGCTAATATGTTAAACGGTGAACAAATAAATTGGTGTGGAAATTAATTGCACTATGTTTCTCCTTCTTTGTAATCTTGTAATCCTTTTTAAGTAACTAAGTGTGTCTTCTATGAGGGTTTGTCCTTTTATTTCTGATCTTTTCACTCTGTTTAGGTGGGACGAAGAGGTCTTCATTCTATTATGATCTTTGGAATAGCAATTACGTAAGTATCATTGGTGAAGCATCTTCCGATTTGGGTTCCTTTTTTTTTTCTTGATCTCTTTCATATTCTAGTTTGGGCGGCATATTTTTACATCAATCATCTTCGATATGTCTGAGTGATTCAAGTTTGGAAAGAAGCTAAGTTCCTCAATTTGATTCTTTGCTTTCTGCAATCCCTTTGAGGTTCATGTAATGAAATTATTCTTCCATGTTCTTTGAAGGGGACCTTTTTAAGTTTTATTTATAGATAACTATCTGCTTATTCAAATCCAATAAAAGCATTTATATCACTACATAAGGATTAAGTGCTGTATTTATATCTAGTTGGCCGCAATCAGTTGATAGTGACTTTTTGGTCTACTCTGTAATTACCTTGAAAAAAAGAAGAAAAGCATACACAATTCTGCATGCATGTTCAGTTACCTCATGTTTCTGACTTTCGACAGAAGCAAAAGGTGCAACAGGAGTCTGGAACAAATTCTTAGCTGCCTGTAGGCCTGAAGAAGGTTATTCGACAATTCCTACGGAAAAAGCGAGTTGTAGATGATACACCTCAAAGCAGACCACGACTCTCTAAAGATATTCTTACAGGGTTGAGTGTTACTTGATTAGCAATGACCTTATTTGTGAGTGATACTCGATAAGCAATGACCTTATTTGTTTTTTCTTCTATCCTGTTCCCTGAAGCTTTTTTCCAATGTTCTTTGCAGATATTTGCTGATTCTTAGAGAACAAGTTTCAAACTGCTAGGTTGGTGCTCGAGGCCAGAAGAGTCACTTTGTGAATGCAAGGATATGATTGCAATTGAATAGGCACTCTTATCTTTCTCATTGTTTTTTTAATTAACTGGTCAAGTACTTTTTGTTCTTTTCTTTAAGGGGCATTAGAAATAGAGGGAACCTCTATGACCGGATTGTTATCAATTAAGGGTCTAGGGTCCAACCATAAACCACAGCATCCGGTGCCGTGGAAGCCCTCCAATTGAGCTCAGGCTCTCAAATGGAAACTAAATGCTTGCTTAGCCCAGCTCCCTGGAACTTTTATCGTCTCAATGCAGAGTTGTAACTTGTTTGGTTTCACGCTTTGTTATGAAGTTTTAATCTGGATTTACACCAATGTAAACTCAATTAGAAACACTTTCCCTGTATTTTGGTATTATCTCTATTAGAAACATTTTTTATAGTTGACTCATGGTGGTGGACATCTGTTGCATTTTAAGCATCCATCAGTTTTCAAGTAACGTTCATTTTAATTGTTCAAACCAGTTTAAGTGATGAAATTCGGACTTGACACTCGGCCTTTAATGGCTGATCAAATACAGGCAGTGTAATGTATAAATAAATTGGACATAAGGATCAAATACAGGTGACGGATTGTTTCCATTCCTATTAACCACAACAGCCACCTGTCTGGGCAACTGCTCCATCTCTTGCACCTGATGGACCTTGGGCACGCCCATAGCCGATCTTGATGCCAGATGACTGCAATATTTTTGAAGAAAAGGCCCTTGAGTAAGACATGCTTCAGAGTTCAGATGGAAGGAAAATAATGAAGCCGAATGAAAGATGCTTCTAGGTTCAAACCAGATTAAAAAAGTTTGTCAGCCTCCCCATACAGAAAACTGAACTATCTAAATCTTGGCTTTCTTTAGTTTGCAGGTGCATAAAGTCACCCAATCGATCAACTAAAACCGTGCCAATCTTCTATATGAAGAGAGATACCCATGTCTAAACCTTTATACTTATTATTATGAGTTACTTCAGTTCTAGCATAACGAATTAGAGAAAGAAACAACCTGGTAAATCATTTAGTTGGCGTCAAAGACATTCAGAATTTCATTTCTCATGATTCAAGGGAATGTCATATCTTTGGTTCTAGACATCCTAAAAATAAGGTGGCTTGATTCTTACCTCATTGGACACATCAAAGACTCCTTCCTGAATGTTCTGAAGGATCTTTGCAGCAGCCCTTATGAAGGCCTAAAAGATATTTCAGTAGTTTGGTTAAAAACATTCATTAAAAGGAATAAAGATAACAATATAAGTTCCAACTAAACATATAGTACTGGATATAAACAATATGATTTGCCACTTATGGGGAAATACTTACCTCCTCAACATTTTGAGCTGTTCTCGCAGATGCTTCCAAGAATAAAAGCCCATTTTCCTTTGCAAACTGTTCACCCTCTTCTTTGCTAATGGCCCTCCGGTGAGAAAGATCACACTTGTTCCCAATTAGCATGATTGTCATGTTGGGATTTGCATGCTGCCGTGCATCTTCCAACCAGCTTGCTAGATGATTAAATGTCTCTCTCCTGGTCAAGGGTACAAATTTGCAGTTTAGTTGAAGAAAATTCAAATGTTCCAGAACTAGATTTGACCAAAAAAAAAAGGCAGATATGTATAGTAATCTCTAAAAGTCATAATAATAAAGTAAAACAATTGGTCTTAGCATTTTAAACCGGGGGAAATACAATTAAGCAGTTGCTAAATCCTAAGGGAAAGGAAAAGGCTAGAAGCAAAAGCTACAATAGGGAGACACAAGCGAATGGATCCTTCACCTGTTCCAAACACCTTATTTAAGCATGCTTGCACATCACAGCTTTGTTTTAACTTTTTCACTAATTTTCACTGACTTGCAAACAACAACATACAATTCCACACCTAGAGAAAATTTTGTCTCTGACCTGGTTATATCATAGACCAGAAGAGCTCCTGCTGCTCCTCTATAATAAGATCTAGTGATGGACCTAAAGGATTCTTGCCCAGCCTGAAATATAGGCAAAGAAAAGCTCTTGCTGAAACCCATCAAATCATTGAGCAATGAAACAAAAAATGATCACACAACCAACAAAATACCTACAATTGAGACAACATAATCCATTAAATGCATTAATGAGCTATGATTCATTGGTTCCACATTCCTTGAGTAGGAAGCAAATAACAAAGGAATAACTAACACTTCGAGATAATCTCCTTTTTCATGAAAGAAGGAAGAGTTCCTCTAAAACAAGTGAACAAATACTTAACACATACTATATCACCGATTTCCTAGAAACAAGTCATTCAAGGACTAACTTACACTTTTCCTTTACTAAGTTCAAAAGCTTTCACTTCTCCTCTGTTCACTCTCACCAATCCCACAATTCTCCAACCATAAACCAACTTTATACCAATCAAACAAAAAACAACTGCTCGTTTTTCCTCATAAAACAATTTTCAATTTCCAAGAAATTCTACTCCAAAATAAACATATATTCCGTCTCACCATCTCCTTTGGGTACTAAAGTAACTCTTCCACACCCAAAAGCCAAAAATTCATTACTGTTAACAGTTAACACCCTTTTCGTTAAACAGCCAAAGAAGATATAAAAATAGAAAATTTAAACATAAAAGTGAAAATTTTTACAGAATCCCAGATATTTCCTAACAGTCTAACACTCTCTTTGGCTCCTATGCTTAAATTTAATTATTCACAACCAGCAGCTAAAAGAACTTAAAATTTTAATACCCTTTCACCAAAAAACCAAACAAAGCATACTTAGGAAGAAAAAACGATTAAAAGTGAAGATTTTTACAGTATCCCAAATTTGAAGCTTGATGGGTCTGCCATCAATGGTGACCATCCGAGCACCGAACTCAACACCGATGGTTAGATCATGAACTGGTTGGAATCTCTTGTCTGTAAACTGCAAGAGCAAACATGATTTTCCCACGCCTGCATCAAACCCCATAAAAAATTTTCAAAAATGGCAGAAACTCCTTCTAAATAATAACAGTAAAAACAAACAAATTGGGATTTTCAAACAGAGAGATGGGCTACCAGTGTCACCGATGATGATGTACTTGAAAAGATAATCGTAAGACATGGCTTTCTACGTCGTCGTCTCAAGCTTCTTAGCTCTCTCTGGATACACTATCAGAAGAAGAAAGAAGAAAAATTTGGGAACGTAGAAGAAAGAGATCCAGTGACGTTTGATTAAACGACACGTTATCAAGTTTGTCCTTGCTTAGTTAAAGTTATGGTTTTGGTTGGAATTGAGAGCATTTTTTTTTCATGGACGCGGAAATTATATACGAATCAAACAGCCTTTTTAAGCTTTTCTTTCTTTAATTAATACTCTAAAATTATCAAGTAATCAAGTTTTAATTACTATAACTGCTTCTGGTTTTTGTTTTCTTTTTCTTGCCTTGTCTTCAGTCCACTTCCTTTTTATTTTTTTTTTTAATCTAGATCTTTTAATTGGATAAGCATATTGGCCTTTATTATTTTGGATTCGGTACATTAAGACCTCGTCATTAAAAAAATATATGTATGCTAATTTTGGGTTGGACTTCTTATGTTTTTTTTATCCATTAATTTTTTATATATTTTTTGTGTCATAAATTATGATAATCATATTTATAAACAACAATAAAGTAATAGGAAAGAGTCAATAATTTTGTATTGCTTATTTCATGATTCGAGCGTATTTTTTTTTATCAACTATATTTTTTATGCATAAATTATATGGTTTAACTATTTAATTTTAAAGAAAGTGGAAATGAAAATTTTTAAATTTAAATTCAGACACAAGAACAATAAAATGAGATGGATTTTTTAATTTAAATTTATTATAAATATAATATTTTATATATTCGTATCATATAAAATATTAAAATTTATATATTTACATCATATTTTACATAAAAAAATATATATCATAGTGTGAATATAAAAATATAAAATTTATGTTTTTAAATTTAAAGATAATTATTGTTAAAATTTTAAACTGTATTATTTTTTTATATTATATTATAATATTATATCATATTTTAAATTATCAAATCTAATTTATTATAAAAAACATCTATGAAAATTCCAAACTCATAGATTACATAGTACTGCTTAGGTAAGGGAACGTTAAAGGAGAGTATCGGGCATGGTTACGCATTTGAACAGAAAGTAATACAAGAAACGGAAGTTTAGGTAAAGAAAAGGAGAAAAGCTACGTTTGCCTTTTTGTCAAGGTCAAATGCAAGCTAATGAAGTTTTGTTAGCTATAAAACAGAAGGCATGGCATCGAGCATCTTGTTCATAATTTTAAAGCTCAGATTTTTCAAGCTAGAGAAAATGAGCCCATCAAGTTACCTCTCATTCAGTGTCAAATCGCAACCTGTATCATTATTACAAGAAAACCAATAAAAGAGGATAGCATGCATGCCAACAAGATGGCTATCCATAAAGCAGATACACAGGGAATAGAAAACTAAACAAAGTGATCACATCACCATTCCAGAAATGCTAAAGGTTAATCCAGATTTGATCTTCGTATTTTTAACCATGGAAGTCAGGAACAAAATGGTGGATTTATGAGATAAGATAAGACTACCTTGTTCACAAGAAAGTGAAAAAGGAATGAAGAGGAAACACCAAACAGTTGAAAAATCTCACAGTATGCAAATGAAGTCCAGTGACATCAACACCATCAAGCACCAAATCAGCCTAGACATGGCAATGGAAGCTGGACAAATTGCTAAGCAGTTAGAATCACATATTCTCTATAAACTATGTCTATAAACTATGCACAGGCATGTTGTCGGTCAAAGAATATAAAAAAAAAAATTACTTGAAATTATGTCGTTTGAGAAGGGTCAGTGCTGCAACAACCCTTGACTCTCTACCGGAACGATGGCAGTGTAGCTAGAGCTGTGAGCTGACCATGTCTGGGAATATGTTTGAGACCATAACAATTGGTTAGCTACAGTAACATAAGAATATGAATAGAACAGTTTACAATCAAGGTGTTCAAGCATGCAGTTTGAAGAAACTATTGACGTTTGCAGAACCATAATAAACAGCAATTTCAGAAGTTACTGCCTCTGTACCAGCAGCAGTTCCTACTCCGCAACAGTAAATATTTGGTGCCATTAATGAATTTTCTCACAATTCTTATCACAAACTATAGGTCCTTCAGTTGCTATTGTGTCTGCCCCAAGAATTAACACAATCCTATAAACAAATTCAATTGTAAATGGACCTGTGCAAGGGTTATACGCTTGAGTTTGTAAGTTCGTCGAAAATTTAGAAGTGCTTAGGTAAGAATTTTAAGCCCGTTAAATGAGTTTAGATTTAAATCTTAGTTTCGTATATAACATTGGTCGAACCTTGGACATGAAAATTACTTTTATTTGAATAACTATTATATATTTGTTATTTATATTTATACTAAATAAATAAATAAATAATATACATATATCATGTCTATATATATTAATCACGTTCAAACGTCAAATTAAATTAATAAAATAATTTTTTAAATTTTATTTTATTGATTTTTTTATTATAATTAATATTTATTATAAAATTATTTTTATTTTTTATTCAAAAAAAATTAAAATATAAATAAATCTAAATGAGTTTAAACAAAGTCTTTAAAAACGAGCCGGACTTAAACAATAAAATGAAACTCATATTTTAAATTGAACAAAATTCCAACAATCTAAAAATTTGTTAATACTTATTTAGATCCGACTCATCCCGATCCATTAACAGATTTAAGTGGAAACAATGGCATTGCATAATTAGTCAACTTATATGTGGTAGTGAATATAATTTAATAACTTGGTGACGAGCATATATTAATTTCAACACATATGCGTCATACCTCAAATAATATTACCTTTTTTTCTTGTTTTTTAGGAGTGAAAATAATGTTTGATATAATTTAATTTGTAAATTAACATTTTAATTATAAAGGCATTTTGCATTAAAAACCATTAAAAATATGGAATTGTATAAAACTTGTTTATATACACAGAAGTAATTTTGAAAATTATCACTGCATTCTTAACAAAGTACTTAATTTATCAAACATTGTAATTAGATCTATTTAAGGATTAGATCACCTACTTAGGCCTGAAAATTTGTTCAAATTTTAATAAAGTTTGGATAAAAAATTAAAATTCATTAAACATATTTGAATATAATTTTTATACATGTTTAAATTTCAGGTCAAATTTTAGATAAATAAATTAAAGCTCAATCCGAATAAAATATATAATTAAAATTTTATAATTATATATTTATATATATGTGAATATTTATTTTATATTTTATATTAAAATTTTTTAATTTTTATTATATAAGTTTGGTTTAACATATAAGCTTGAAATTTATTTATTTTTTAATTTAAATTGTCTTAAAAATTTTTTTGAAACTTAAAACATTGAATTGAATTAGATTAAAATAAACACATAAATAATTAATATCAAACATAAATCTAATTTGATTCAATATTCACAAACACTTCTAACTTTAGAGTTACCAATTTTACGTTTCAATTATAGGGTTTTGTGATCTCCTCATATGACAAGTGTGACAAGTGAAAGGGTAAGTGTTGGGTTGATAGCCCTAACATTTCCTATCCTATTTGACACTTAAGCTCTTTGCATCTTCCAATTCCCAATCACTATTTACACGGTGTACCCCTCTATTTCTATTTAGTTATTATTTAAACTAGTTTTAAATTTGTGCGATACGTGAAAATATATTCATATATCAATAAATCTTATATAAATATAAAATTTTTAAAATGATATATCAATAAATTTTATATAAATATAAATTTTTTAAAATGATAATATAAGCTATAAAGTTTATAAACAACTCATAACTTATATAATCATTTTTATTTAAATTTATATATTTTAAAATAATAAAATAAATTAATTACATATTAAATATACTTATATAATTATCATCAATTCTAAAGAAAACTCAAGCTATAATTTATTAAATCTAAATAATTTTTAAGTAAAAGACAATAATGTTTTCAATTTCAAGAAATTAAAAATTTCATCCTTAAAATCAATATCGCATACAAATTTTTTTCATGAGAGATTCTTCCATAAGTTGTTGTTGAAGCAAAGATATAGCAATTGTTTTTCTAGTATTTCTTGCTATCTTTGAAGTAGGTGTCATTTTACTTAATGAGTCAATAGATTTCACAAATGAAAGTGAAGAGATAGATAAAAATAGCAATATATAATTTGACAACAGTTGAGTTATAATCTATATTATATAACCTTATAACAAATATAATCATTATAATAAGTTTATACTTATCTCTTCCAATAATTTTTTACATTCAAGCTTAGGATCAAAATCATACATCTTATTCACTATAAGTTTGGTACTTGTCTCAAAATTATACTTGGTTGCCCTCATCTCGAACACACAAATTTTACCTCAAAGATTTTCAAATATCTCTTGAATTTTATAATCTTCATTTTTCTAAATCATAAGCATAAATATATTATTCAATTAATTTGAATATTAAATAATATTAAAATAATTTTTAACTTAATACCTTAACAGATATTTCATAAAGATCGTAAATATCTTTATTATTTAAATAATTAGATTTTGTGTTGAATTGTCATAACATTGTCCTTCTAGAATTATTGTATGTTTCAATATTCAATTTATACCTATAAAAAATGTAAAATTCTACAATTATAAATATAGTATAATAATTTAACATACTTTTATTATCATGGAATAATAATTTTTTTATGTATTAAATATAAAAAATATAAATACTAATTACCTTCGAGTTGGATTAGGGACATCAACCTTGTAAGAATAACATTGAAATTTCTCATCAATTTCAGAAAATTTCTTGTTATACCCACATAACATATAATACCAACCAAAAGTAATATAAACTTTTATGATAATGACTCTACTAGTGAAAGATTTCCTTGTATATATCCAATCATCTTTAAATCAATCAATAAACAAATATTAAAAAGAATGCTAATATCATAGTTAAAGAAATATAAAATATAAGTATAAAAAGAGAATAACCTTTGAGTAGCACAGACTAAGAAATGAAGTAAAGTGAAAATTAGAGAGAAAATTGAAGTAGAGTTGAGTAGTGATCAAAAGATATAAAATTAGTGAAAAGTGGTTAAAGATGCATTATGCTTAACCTAGAGCTACTTATAAAAAATGTGTGTTGTAGGTTAATTAATAAGATAATTTTAAGTTATGAAAGTTAATATTGAAATAATAAAAATTGTGAGCGAATAATTGTCTAA